TAACGCCGTTCGAGAAGTGAGCACCTCCGCATCTTTACCCTTTCTAGGTGCCATTTGCACTGACTATTTACACCGGTTTTACCCGTGACAATTTAACAATAAAAAAAATTACTCAATATTGGTATGAGTAAGTAACCCGGTACCAAGATTAGCCACTCTATTCAATAATCGGCTAACTTTAAATTCTCACTACACTGCCCAATTCAATAATTGATCAACAATTAACCACTGTGCGCCACTGTACCAAAATGTGTACTTGCGCCCCAACGAACCGGCAGGCAAAGAAGAAACGACTACAAAGTTAAATCAATGTCAAATAGAAATTACTGTTCTTTAAGTGCCGGCTTGTAACTGCATATATATGCAAGTATGTATGTGCCTTGCTTCAACGTACAGCAGTGCACGCAATAGGCTGTATGTGTGTATGCAGATACCTATGCGCTCAAGCTAACTGTAATTGTAATCTGCTTTCTACACGAGACCCCGCTTACAGAACAATTAAAGCGCAGAAGTCTCAAAGCCGCGACCACTTGACACTAACACAATTGTATTGTTTTAAGATTATTCACACACATCGAATTGGAACTAAACATGCCTGCAAGAAATATTAGATGCTCAAAGCAGTTCACACTCACAATTCGATACCGAAGCCGCTGTCGCACTCGCCGTCAGCCAGACTCAGGGTGAAATATTTATTGAGTTCCAGTCGTGAACTCCATCCGGTAATTGAACCTTCTCCAAAGGTCCCTGCTCGGGCGCCAAATGTACGAGCTAAGTCCCTCCAACAGTTTTCCAATGGAATCCGTCTACACAATTCAGACCTTCCTTAATCCGCTCGATGTAGTTCCTTGCTCGTTCGTTTATTTCGTATATATCTCTTAAATCTAGTGATCATAATTCAGATCGTTTTGGCTCGATACTATTGATACTATCGATTGCGCTTCTTTATACGTACATAATGTAACGCGCCAACTTCAAATTAATTCACAATTTTTGTACTATTTACATATTAATTCAAATCTTCAAATTGTTAACCATTATTAAGTAATTTAATCCTATATTCTATTAAGGGGCGTCAACAGGTATGTTGTGTGTCTGGTAAAGTCAATTGTGGATGAAACAAAAATAGTAGAATATGAGTACGAGTACGAAATAAATGTGTCTGGCAAATAGCTAAGAACTGCTTCCCTTTTTCTGCAGTAGGAGCACTCGCATATATTCATCAACGTCTGCCTGCCGCCGCCAAAAGTTTAAATTAATGACAGGAGTCTCAATCGGACATCCATCAGGACGATGTTCGCGAGACGTGCAACTAGCGAACATTAATTAAATTAGCCAATTAAAAGTTTTAGGGGCCCCCAACAAATCTCCGGACTTGGAGCTCTGCAAATAAATATGTTTGTTCCAGCATTAATGCCGAAAGCCGACGGAAATTTTTGGTAAACCCTTAAGCAAATCACTAATGCTATGCCGGGAACAGCGGCGATTATTCAAAATGAAATAGGCATAAAAGCTGTACAAAACTTACCCCAAAAACACACACACACAAGCCGAATATTGATTTAGCGGTGATTTAGGCTTTTAGTTTATGGTTTTAGCACTGTTGCTTCTTCAGTTTATGGCTTAGTTTCTTCCGGGGGATTTCGGGGTTCACATCTTTCAAAACTTGAGAGCTTGAGGCTTGGGCAAAGACCACTTGCCGTCGCCTCACAAAGAAATAATTTAAAGGGATATTTTCTTGGTGGGTTTTTACTGTCTATTTCCTCACTTAAAATTACAACTTTTCTTTTGTCTATGATACATTTTTGAGTTTTGATTAATTATTAATTATTTGGCTTGAGTTTGTTTGCTGTGTGACTCCTCTCTGTCGGATGCTGCTTCTGCTGTTTGCTGTTGCTTTTGCCGCTGAGATGTGGCACACTGCTTCGTTGAGTTTGAACTGAGCTCGAGTCCTGCCTGGCACTCGCTTTTATTGGCCGCCAAGAGGAAACCCACCACGAAACAGAGGGACAGATAGAGGGGAGACCCAGCCGCTGCCGTTGCCGCTGATGCCTTCCTGGCCGACAGCCTGCCATGCGCCCCGAAAGGATACAAATATTTACAGGTGCGTGTGGGGGATGGGATGGGTCTGCACTGAGGTCTGCTTTAGGTCTGGGGTTAGCACAAAAAGCTCTTTTTTTTTCAAGATGTGTGCATTCACTGAGAGAAAGTTTGTTAGAAAACTATAATTTTTTTATATAGAACTTCGTAAATATCTACAATGCAGAATATAAAGAAGGGTCACAACAAAACATAAATAAATATATATACAAAATTCTGAGAATAATAATTATTTCTTACATTTTCTTATTATTATTTTTTATTTTTTCTGTAAATGTAAATCTGATGAAATGAAAACTTATTTTCCAATAACTATGTATGACCTGACAACCCTGAAAGGAAAAGCTTTTTCTCTCTCTTTCTCTCACTCTCTCTCTCTCTAAAGAAAAGCTTTTACGTTTCAAAACAAACCACCCACACAGCATCCTCACACTCTCGCATGGACAGCGAGCACATGGCCGGATGCAGAGTTCTACAACTTTACAACTGTGGCGGATTTCCCTGCCCATTCTCCTCTATTACCCAGTCGCATGCTAGTGGGCTAAAAGAAGAAGAAAATACCGAAAGAACCTTCGGCAGCGGCTTAAGCCAAAACAAGGAGAGAAAAGTAGAGAGAGAGAAACAAAGAGACAAAGTAGGAGAAGACTACGATGAAAACAATGCAAACAAAAATTTGCGCTTTTACGAGCAGAGTAACCATCATCAACATGAGCATCAACAGCCATCCCCAGCTCCTCCCATGAAATTACCGGTCGTCATTCTTTCCTTTTTAGCTGGCATTCATGTCTTATCCTTTCTTTTGCCTCAACTTAGAACCGAACCCAAACTTGAACCGCGGCCTTTGGCTGGTTTCTCACGCCTTGCGTATTTGCCTGGCACGCGTACTCGTAGTTTTCCCAGCCTCGTCTTTTGTTTTCCCCCAATTTCTTTCTTTTTATGAGAGTTTGCTATGGAGGCAGCAGCAGAAGCAGCAGCACCCGTAGGCAACAAATTGCCAGCCGTTTAAGCCACTTGGGCGCAACATGGCGTATGCGTAATTATAATTGAAATTTCGTGCCTACAGTTAATGAGTTCTCTCCTTGGTATAGTCCTTGGACGTAAATGTTTAAGCGGTGATGTTAACCTTTTAATAAAGAGCCACCTTAAGGTCTATTTATCGAGCATCAAATGGAATTTTTAATCAAAATAACTGACGCTAGACGGTTCCTTGATTCCGTGGGGCGTGAAATGCCAGTGGCAATGGGACCATCGTCATGGCAACATTGTACCTTTTCGCACCCACCTCTGTTCTGTTCTGCTTTGCGGTTGTATCAAACGATCTGTGGTGGCAGCAGCATTTATTCCTGTCCTGTTGTATAATGGAAATGCGTCAGCGAAGACGCAGCAACATGCATTTTACCTCCTCCCACCCATCGACCTCAACCTCAACACCGCTTAAGATTGTATAAACATAAAAGCCATACATGACGTATACGCAATATTTGTGTGGGGCCCCTCTTAGAGCCAAGCCGCTAAAACGCTCAAGTGCTTCCCCGTTTGTTGCGAAAGTTTTGCGAAATAGTTGCATATGTGAGAGTTGTATATGCGGGTTGCATGATTTGATGATGAACGTCATTGACGTCAGTCGTGGGGGCCTCTTCACTGTACGATTGGATAACGAAAGATTGAAGGACTAGAGGTTTAATCCAAGCATTGGTTTGGGTTGAGTACGTAATTCGCATAAGAAGTCTGTTGTCCGCAGCAAAATGATTGTTATATAAACCTCGACTTCAACTTCAACTTCAGCCTTGACCATAAATTATTGATTTGTCTGGTCAATTAGTATCGTTAATATGATTAATGATGGGGGTGGAGCACTAGCACGAGCATGCCAGGCCCCACAATTGAATCAATTTGACATTGAAACAAGAGCCGCCTTGAGCGAACGGCAGTGGGAATTTCCCCCTTGATTTATTGAGTCACTAAAAGCAAAAGCCAGTGCAATCAGCCCCATAACCTTTGGGTCCACCAAAAGTGGAGCCCCCACTTTCTCCCAGTCGCTCTGATTCTATTAGAGGATGGCATTATATGCGGGGGCTGAATTTTAAAAGCATTCATTATGACTGGCATAGAGCGGGTAGTGCACGCAATAAACCAATTTCGGTGTCTGTCTCACCTGTCTGCTGTCCCTGACTCAAGCTGTTTGCCCCTTCCTCAGCCTCTTCCCCATCCCCATCCCATTGCTGCCTTGCTACCTCTCTCCGTGCCGCACTGAACCTTTCATTGTTTTGCTTTCAAGTTGCGCGGTAATTTCATTTGGTAATTGTATCCTGCAATTTGCTTTTGCTCTGGGGGCAATTTGATCCAGAAAATTTACAGCCCGCAGCTGTAAAATGCTAAAGGTCATAGTGTAGATGTACGAAGGGGGGAACACCAAGCACTGAAAATAAGGCACAATGAGTGAGGCAAAGATAGATCCGGAATCCATCAAACTGCATTGGAACGCAGCCAGCATGGCAATCATCAGCGGAAAATGGCAAATTGAGAGCACTTATCGTCTCCGCTGGAATCACAAAAAGGGGGGCAGCCTCGAGGGGTCCATAGCTATAGAGGGGTCTATTATCTCTGCTTCCCTCTGTATCATCTCTGCTTCCCTAACGAGGCGTCTGTCACCTCGTTGGCGGAGTCTATCATCTGCATTTCCCTCTGTTTGGTTCTCTATCTACCAATGGAAATTGAGTTACCTGTGGAATTGGGGCCCTTGCAACAACAACATCGTCATGCGATGCGGAGACCTTGACAATACGTATACGCAGTGTAATCGGATAACTGGTTTCGTTCATTTACGTTACCAATTGATGAGCTTTGATTAGCAGCGTAGCAGATTTCTGTATAATTCCTGCATTCATCTTAAAACTTACCTTCTCATCCTTGGCATAAAATAAGTTATTTCGCTTCAAGCGAAAGTAGCGACGTCGCCAGCGCTGAAACGACCAGGTGTGCTTCAGCAGGAAACCCTCTTTAATGATGGCAGACTAGAGAAAGTAAAGAGAATAAATAGATAGATACAGTTATTTAAACAGCGTAGAAGCAGACGGTTCCACTTGGATAGAAAAACATATATTCCATTGGCAATTAGCCATTGGATGGCGCTGACACTGCACTTCACACTAGAGAGTCAATAATAATGAGTGCCATGGCATGTCACAGACTCAAGGAACATTGGACCTGCACCTAGACCTGGACATGAACATGGACCTGAATCCTGTTCGGTCGACTCTGTGGTGCCCCGTCAATTGCAATCGCCAGCTGGATGTCAACCATAATTGGCTGCATACTAACAAAAGCCAGTGGCAAGTGTGGCTCTGTCGCTCAGTGGTGTGTGTGTGTGGGGCAACAATATGGCCGGCAATCAATTGTGCAAACAAAGGCCAATCACACTCAGTCACATTTTTCTCCCCCATTCACACTTATTTGCGAGTCGCGAACAAAAGCAAATGCCCCGGGAAAGTGGGAAAGTGTTGTGCGGGAAAAGCGAAATATAAAAGTGTAAATAAGCATCGGGGCCAGAAGTCGACAAAAGTGACAATAATCTGGGCCAATTATTCGACAAATAAACCTTTTGATTTCAGCAAATTGTGCGACTTGGTCAACTTCGCTGGGCAGTAAGCTCTTAGAACACTTCAGGAATCGATGAGAATGGGAATGAGAATACCATGCCGCTGGCTGAAAAGCGCACAATTGCAATCCGTTTAAGTTTCATTTCCACCGGATCAAGCGCCATTTACTCCCTCTCTCTTACACTCTCGTATCCTCGGGGGGCTAAAAACAAATTCAACGTCAAATAATAATGGAAAAATCTTTAGAAGAAATTGCAACGAATCAAGTTGTAGAGAATTCCATTTGATTTCATTTTCTCCATTCTGTTTGTGCAGCAAAATTGGAGAAGGAACCAAAGCGGAAATGTTTGCGCAGCTAAGAAGAGAGGCCAGCTAAAAGCTCTTTAACGACCAACTCTGACTTAAATTGTACTTAAAAGTTGCTCCCGAAATTTCATAGAAACCAACTGGCACTTAGGTTGAATGACCCCGCACAAAAGAGCAGACGAAAATTCAATTGGAAAGTGAATCCCACGCCCCCTTTCAAACTGTGACTAAAAATCAAAGTTACGGTACTATCATATCAAGATCAATCATCGTCAATCAATCATTCTGTGTGCGTGGCCATCGGGCCTGGCGTTGACTACACATCAAGTATACGCCAAATTGGCCCTGGCCAAAAGCCGACAAAGCCAGCGTCTGTCCATCAGGGCAGACACAGGACACAAGACAGACGACGGAAAGAAGATGATAAGCAAGTTTGAAATTTTTCGTTAGCTGGGTATTGATTTTGATTTAATATTACCCACCGGTCCCTTGTCGCTTGCCCACCATCTCTCTCTCTCTCTCTTTTGTAGAGGTAAAAAGATACAAGATAAATAATAAAAACGAGGGGGAACGTTGTGAGTTGCTGCGGAGACCGCAACTCTACATTTATACCCGATACTTAGTGAGTATGGCTCTCCTCCGACAGATGGTGCGAGAGAGACACAAAAACAGTTTAAACGTGTCGTCGGGCGCTACGTAGCGACTGAAAATTGATTTGTCACTTTTGGCTATAATAATAGTCCGATCTGATCCAGATTCGGCCATCGGACAAATATGGTCATTCTCTATGATTGTGCGTTTTTAATTTTCTCGTCTCTTCAATATTGTTGTTGGCAGAGATTTTCGTCTTTTGTGGACGTTACACTCATCCATTTTCACCACAAATCTAATATACCCCTATAAAAAAATGATTAAATAAGAATCTAAAATAATATTTATACAATACAATATATAATATAATTATTATTATTTTTTTTGTTTTATTGATTAATGATTATTTCTGATTTTTATTGAATAATTATTATTTTCGATTTTTATTGTATAATTATTATTACAATTGTTATTCTTGATTTTTATTGAATAATTATTATTATAATTATTATTCTTGATTTTTATTGTATAGTTATTATAATTGTTATTCTTGTTTTTTATTGAATTCTTGATTTTTATTGAATAACTATTATTATAATTGTTATTCTTGATTTTTATTGAATAACTATTATTATAATTGTTATTCGTGATTTTTATTAAATAACTATTATTATACTTGTTATTCTTGATTTTTATTGAATAACTATTATTATAATTGTTATTCTTGATTTTTATTGAATAACTGTTATTATAATTGTTATTCTTGATTTTTATTGAATAACTATTATTATAATTGTTATTCTTGATTTTTATTGAATAACTATTATTATAATTGTTATTCTTGATTTTTAATGAATAACTGTTATTATAATTGTTATTCTTGATTTTTATTGAATAATTATGATTTTTGATTTTTATTGTATAATTATTATTATAATTGTTATTCTTGATATTTATTGTATAAAAATAATTCTTGATTTTTATTGTATATTTATTATTATAATTGTTATTCTTGATTTTTAATGAATAACTATTATTATACTAGTTATTCTCGATTTTTATTGAATAACTGTTATTATAATTGTTATTCTTGATTTTTATTGAATAACTATTATTATAATTGTTATTCTTGATTTTTATTGAATAATTGTGATTTTTGATTTGTATTGTATAATTATTATTATAATTGTTATTCTTGATTTTTATTGAATAATTATGATTTTTGATTTTTATGGAATAATTATTATTCTTGATTTTTATTGAATAAATATTATTATAATAATTATTCTTGATTTTTATGGAATAATTATTATTTTTGATTTTTATTTTATAATTATTATTCTTGATTTTTATTGTATAATTATTATTATAATTGTTATTCTTGATTTTTATTGTATAAAAATAATTCTTGATTTTTATTGTATATTTATTATTATAATTGTTATTCTTGATTTTTAATGAATAACTATTATTATACTAATTATTCTCGATTTTTATTGAATAACTGTTATTATAATTGTTATTCTTGATTTTTATTGAATAACTATTATTATAATTGTTATTCTTGATTTTTAATGAATAACTGTTATTATAATTGTTATTCTTGATTTTTACTGTATAACTATTATCATAATTGTTATTATTGATTTTTATTGAATAACTATTATTATAATTGTTATTCTTGATTTTTATTGAATAACTATTATTATAATTGTTATTCTTGATTTTTATTGAATAATTATGATTTTTGATTTGTATTGTATAATTATTATTATAATTGTTATTCTTTATTTTTATTGTATAAATATAATTCTTGATTTTTATTGTATAATTATTATTATAATTGTTAATCTTGATTTTTATTGAATAATTATGATTTTTGATTTTTATGGAATAATTATTATTCTTGATTTTTATTGAATAAATATTATTATAATAATTATTCTTGATTTTTATGGAATAATTATTATTTTTGATTTTTATTTTATAATTATTATTCTTGATTTTTATTGAATTATTATTGTTATAATTATTATTTTTATTGAGTAATTATTATTTTTAGATCAAAACATGAATTATATAAATATTATTTTTGATTTTTATTGTATAATAATTATTTAATAATAAAAATCAAAAATAATAATTATAAATAAACTGGTCCAGAGCCCATAGATATGGATATGATTTTCCATTGTTGGTTTCTCAGTCAGGCAGCGTAAATATAACGTATAAATTTCCCACACTCTTTTATTGGGGTTGCTTTTGCTTTACTTTTCCTGGGCTTTGTTTTGACTTTCCTTAGCTTCTCTTTCTTTTATTGCCTCTTTTGCTACATTATGTATAAGGATTATTCTCTACTTGCTCCAATATCCGCTCTTTCGTGCTGCTTTCTCTCTGACTTTTTGATTTTATTTTGTGCCTGAAGTTTATAGAAATTAGCTGTTGGCTGTAGGAGAAGGGAGCATATCCTTCGAAGGCTCACGTGAGGAGCAAGGACGAACAAGAAACAGTTGGCCAATTGTCTGTGTAAATAGTCGTAAATAATTCAAAAGTTATTTTTCACCAGGCACTTGGCAATGGAAAGAGTGAGGGGGGAATGAATGGGTCTCGAGGATATTGCGGCAAAAGTCTGCAAAAGTGGGTCCAAACAAAAACCAGTCGACAGACAATGCAATCCAGGGCCTTTAGCATTGTTTATTTTGTAGGTTTTTACGGTATTGTTGGATTTAAATGGCTGAGGGCTGCAGTAATTGCCATGCAAATGGGTAGGGAACTCAAGCAATTAAAGATGCCGCTTAATCGCATTTCATAAGAATGTTTAGTAAAGATTTACATTTCAGTAGCATTTGTATGTACCTAAAGTAGATACTATTCTTTGTTAAAAGAAATTCCCAGTGTTGCTGTGGTTATGAACCGCACTGTCAGCCAACTGTTGAGGTTTTCCTGTCTGCTTTCTCGGCTTCTTTTCTCCTCTTCATCTCTATTGTCCTACGAGTATTCTCTTCTCTCTTCTGTCGGTCTCCTGTGCTACGCTAACCAAAACGTGTGCCATCCAGCTCAAGCACTAAGAAGCTTTTGTTTAACGTTTTGCTTATTGTTCTGCGGTTTGACATATGTAAGCCCCCCCCCCCCCCCCCCCCACACACACACACATACGCACAACATACGAGTATGGTGGCCACGCCTCCATCTCTATAGGGTGGCACTTGAATGTTGCTTGTCTGTCACAATCAGGAAAATGTTTTTTGTTCAGTCGTCAAACGAAATAAATCACAAATAATAAATGCCCTGCACTTAAAGCGAAAATTGCCAACGACGAAGAATTGAGGGAAAATATTGCTATTTACTCTCATACATTTGAGTATTCCCCGGGGAGGTCAAGAGCCTGCCTGGACTTGCCAACAACAAACCGCAGTACTAAAAATACAATCAAAATCCTTTTTTTTGCAAAGGCCAAAGTGCAGCGATGCGTATAATTAACATCAAATGGCCAGAGCAACGCGGGAGAAGCCCCCACCCAAGGATATGAGGCGGGGCTTGAACTTTTGCCTCTGAACAAATTATTCATACGACGCGTGGTCCAAGGGGATACTGAGAGGGGAAAGGAAGTGCGTCGAACGCTTCAAAGTGACACCAAAACCATAAAGAACTTAATTGAAGCTTTTCTCAGGCTTCCTATTCGCTTCAAAATTTTCGCGGAGTCTTTCAGGTGCTTTCCCTCAGTTTTCTTTCAGTCTTTTTCTTTCTTTTATTCTTTCATTTGAGAGAGCCGCTAAGCAACTATGGCACCATTTAATTAATGGCCTTCATTTCGTTTTTTTGCTGGGACCTTAATTTTGGAGGTGATATTCTGTTGAAGCGCCTAAAAGTTTGATGTTCAATGCACATTATGATTATTATAGCAACAGCTTAGAGCGACCCTTGATCTATGCGACAGTTGACACTTGAAGTGCGGCATTAAAATATTCAGCAAATTCTTGAACTGCGCCTCTGACCTTTGGCAAACGCCACTGCCGGCGGCACTGGCGCCATTTGCAACACAAACCCTCCGACGCACACGCAACGCCCTGTCCCTCCGCCCTCTAGCCACGCCGCTACTCTTTTGCGTGGCATGCAACTTCCGCTCCAGAAACTTTAGAGCTGACGCTCCGCTGCATCGCTGCATGGCTGATAAAGCCATGGAGGACTCTTTTCACTGCTGCCAAGTGCAGGCTGTGCAGAGCCAAAAGGGAAATTGAGTCTGGAAACTGCCGCAGGAACACTGCTGCCAGAGGTACTATGTCAGAGCGAAACTGTCAGGAAGGAATACTTTTAGAGGAAAACTTCGAGAGAGGAACTTTGTAATGCCGGTCCACCGAGTCATTGTGTGGCTAAGCTCGAAACAGCCACAGGAAACCCTGCCAGAGGAGGAGAGGAAATACTACCAATACTCACCAGATTATTGTTGCGTTTGGTGGACATGCGACGCTGGAAGAGGCGTGCCGGCTCCGTTTCAATTTCCGACTCCGACTCGGTGTCGTCGCCATCCCGGCTAATGGAAATGATCGGAATGATAGGCACCGGCGAGAGGCTGCCCGAACTGCAGCCACTACTCCTCCCACTGGAGAGGCTGCGTCCACTCCTTGGGCTGCGGGGACTGGCTACGTGGAGTGTGTCCAGTTTTAAGTGGGCCATTGTCGGGTTTCGCTAACATTCACGTTCACGTTTACGTTTACTTTGACGTCTACGTTTTCTCTTCTTGGCGTTGTGAAATTCCTTTGCATACTTTCGGGCGGCGGGTGGCAATGGCGGCGGCTTCCTTGGGGCGACTGTCACGTTGCAAGGACACGCAGAATAGCACAGGACACGCAGAGTGTTGAATAAAAAAGGGAACCCTGCTTAGAGTGGACGCACCAGTAGCCGCAGGTGGCAGTCCCCAGTGGCTTTCCGTGCTTATGTAAAAAGCTGCCAGGACGCACAAACACAATGGATGGACACCCAACCTCTAGGATCCCTATAACTTGTTCTCCTCTACGTTGTTTCTATGCCCTTTGTTCGGTTGCTTAAGGGTCACACTCTGGTCCAAGAGTGGCTTATGATATTACAATAATTGATATTATATCAACGTCCTTTGCCGAAGCGAAGCACAAAAAGTGTATACATTCAATATCAATAAATTTAGCAAAAATACTTGCACATAAACACATGTATATACCGTCCAATATCTATATATTTATATGTATGTATATATGTATATATTTGTTTAAGCAACACTAACTAATTATTCAATTGGAAAAAACGTTAATCAATTCAATAAATACACGAGTACGAGTACTAGTCCGAATCACGAGTACACCAAACACTCATTTAACGCCACATAGAAAATTGTCTAGCAAAAAATTGTCGTACACAAAAAACACTCACAGTTTACACAGATTTCACATTTACGAGTATACAAATATATCTTCACGATTACGTTTACAATAATTGAAATTTTCCCTTAATTATTCCGTTTATTCATTGCCCCGCCAAACTCCCATTATAAAAAAATATTCTACACTAGCACACTGCTGCCTGAGGCCTGCAGCTATTGTTCCTGCTCTTATTTTTCTATTTTTATTTTCTGGTTGTGTTGTCCCTTTCTCCATCCGCTTTTCCTTGGTGTGTTGTGTGGGTGAAGTCTGTGCCCGTTTCCTTTGTGCTCTGCTCTGCTCTGGACTGGATGAGTCGGAGCCGCGCGGCGTACTGTACGAGACCGCAACCCTCACTGTCAGCTGCCGCCGAGTGTGGCACAGAGCTTGGGCCCCAAACGCAAACCAAACGGCACACGCTGAGGCTCCTTGTTGGCTAAATAGGGTTGTCAGGTGTTCTAAAATATCAGAAAAATAGAATTCGGGGGTCTAGTTTGTGTTCGAATCGGGGGGATTAACTTTTTAAAATTTGTATTTAATTAAAATATTAGTTTTTAGACAATGTTTGTTGCACTCCTCTCATATTTTTCAATTAAATTTCCAACGAATAGTAAAATTATATCGATACATTCCTAAAAACTACTCCATAAGCTGAAATAAATATGAAAAACTATGTTTTTCCACCAATCTTAATCTGTTTCTATTTTCTTCCATTTTATGTATCTCCCACTTCACAAAGGGTGGAAACTCTGCAGCAAAAACAGCCAAAGCAAGATTCATTATCCTGGCCAACAAGTTTTCGTGCTCTTCGCTTTGTTACCCACATTCGTTTGAGAGAGGCTCGTGCCGAAGGAATGAGAGGTAAACGAAAAGAGAGAGTACACACCCACGCAAATAGGCCGAGCAAAACAAAACGCTGGAGAGCGAAAGCGAGCAGCAAAGCGGAGACGAGGACAAAGTAAACAGGAAAGCCGAAAAATGAAATGAGAGGCACACAAATGTCGCGTGGAGGAACGGGCGGAACGGTAGGAATGGAAGCGAAGTCCCGACAGTGAGATGGGCCACAATTACAAAAGAGTGCAAAAGCAAATTTGTTGAGTGGCAACCCCAGTGGGGTGGATGGGTGGAAAGGCCACCCAAAGGGGTGTGTGCTTTTCCGGCCTTGCGCTTTGGCTTTCACTATTTGTTGTCTGCTGTCGCTGTCGCTGACGCCCCCTCACCTGTCCTGTCCTGTGTGTGTTTTTCCCGGCAACCGGCCCACACATCCCGGCGGGCATTACTCTTTACGCTTGACTGCAGTTCCCTATTTATTTTATTACATTTTCACGTGGCTCACACACACAAACACACGAACACACATAGCAAATAAATGAAGCAGCCATATTTGCCTTCTTTTCAGTATCCTCCAATTAGGAAAACTGCCAGCTGAGTTTTTAATGCATTTTAAATGCGATAGAGTCACCACCTACGGATACGGACACGGACACAGACAGGGACACCCCATGCTGAACTTTCATTTAAATTGAATCTGGCAACAGTCCGGAAATGACATAAGCCCTCTCCGTTAACTATTAATTCAATTTCCAAAGGCTACGGATTGACAGGCCATTAAATGCATTCACTTTTCAACAGCCAGCCTTCTGACCTTTTGGGAGCATTTTTTTCATTAGCAACAGGGGGCTACCGATAATTGAATGGGGGATAATTGAATGCATTTCTCCTTTAAAAATAAATGGGTATTAATTTAAGAACTTTAGGCCCTGATCATTATTAAAGTAGTACATACTTTAATCGTTAGATATATTCTATAGATTCCCTATCTAAAGATTCTTGCCCACTTCTTTCATATTACCGATTAATACCTTCTTATTAATAGAATTTATTGGTAGTTCTCCATACAGATTTTTCTAACAGATGATGAATGGATAGACGATGATCCCAGTTTCAGCCATCGTGGTCCACGAAAATGTCGTAAACCCAGTCATGTCTTTCCACTTTTAAGTTCTTACCTCTAGTGCCCTAAATGTAAAATTGGAATATCTTTTGCACATACAAAATTTTTAAATGAAAAGACCTACCCTGGGCATAGACAGGCAGCGCCTGAACTGCATGCACGTCCTCCCTTGTGCCCCGGCATTGTCCATTCCAAACTCGTAGAGACTTGGCGTCAGCAGGAATCCACCCCAATTCGCCGGCATGGGGATGGGCGGCTGCTGATGCCCAAAAAGCGATCCCATGCGGTCGGCCAACCAGTGGAAAATGCCAGACACGCCGGAGGTGGCTGCACGCGCCGACTGTGGACCGTAGGCGAGATAGATCTGGACGTGGCGTGGATAGTTGCGAAACTGTTGCAACGCCTGCTCAGCGCTCACCTGCCGGGCGGATCCAGCAATGCGAACGCTGCGCCTAAGCGGTGCCCAGTTGAAGTGCAGTGATACGTGCGGATTGCTACTGATCTCGCCCGCCTGTCGACTCCCGAGGTTCGTGTAGAAGGTGATCCCTGTGGCGTTTACAGCCTCGATTTTGGTCAGCCGCGTCATCGGCTCGCCGGCCTTGTCTACGGTGGCCATGCACGCCAGACGGGGTCGCAGCTGTGGCACCTGCTGCTGAACAGCCGCCAGCCACTGCTGAAAAATCAGGTAAGGCTCCTCGACGCTCTTGTGCTCCTCGCGTGGCTGTGTGTTGGCCATTCGAAGGCCCGGCGATCGCTTGACCGGCCGGACACGGCACAGCAATTGGCCCAAGTGCAGAGACTCGCAGAGTTTGGGTAGCAAAACTGAGGTCATGATTGGAATTTCGAGGGTGAGTTTTCCAAATGATGAGAATCGAATCGACATTTTGATTTGAAACTTCAAATTTTCATATTTCTAATAACAATTCTGAGCAATTTCTCTACCACTAAGCCCTTTGGAAGACATAACGAATGCATTTTGGAACTTAATTATTTATGGTTACGCTTCCTAAGGAGCCAATCGCTCGTAGATCCAACCATCTTCTCCGCCATGAATTAGCTTGCCATCGACCTCTGTCTGCACTCCTTGGCCACGTCTAAAACGAATGCGATCGTGTAGGCGATCCGTCTGTCCCTGCCAGAACTCTATGAGATTGGGACGCACCAGATATCCACCCCAATTGGGGAGCGGCACCTCTTCTTCTGGTCCTAGTTGGGCCTTGATTCCGGCCTCCAGTTCATCAAGGTAGCCTCTGGAGGGAATGCGCCGACTCTGAGGACTGGCGATGGCTCCGATTTGGCTGGCCCTTGGTCGCTCATGGAAGTACTTCAGGGAGTCTGCTTTAGGGATTTTCTCTGCCACTCCCTCGATGCGAACACTGCGTCGGAGAGGCATCCAGTAGAAGGATATTGCCACATTTGGATTTTCCAAAATATCGTCGGCCTTGCGGCTCCCGTAGTTCGTGAAGAAGGTGAACCCCTCGGCGGTGGCCTCCTTGACCAGAACAAAGCGATTAGATGGTTTTCCCTGGGGGTTCACAGTGGCCAGGGCTGCTGCATTGGGCTCCAGAATCTCCGGCGTCTTAAGAGCCAGCTCCAACCAATCGCGAAATATGCAAAAGGGATTCTTTATCTTGATATTCTCCTCCAGGAAGGCATCCTTGCGCTCGTGGTACTTCAGGCGCAAAGCTTGGGTTGGGTAATCCATAATATATATGATTCATCTCATTTTCAGACTTAAATCCACAGAAAACTTACCTGAAAGCTGCACTTCGGGTTGTCCCTGGTTCATAATGCGCAGTGTCCGCAGCAGTCGCACTGTTTTGTATGGGGTTTTGGGGTTTTATTAGTTGTTGCGCTTACGACCACACGGCCACGTACTTGTTAGAAGGTGAGATCTCACGATAAGTGCTTGCTAAAACGTTATCTTGTTCGCTTATTTAGTGCAAAAATAGGTTGGATTGAAATTAAAATGCAATTCACAGCTGATTGTTAGACAGAGTTGCCACTTCGCTGGAAAAAGGTAACATATTGTTAATTAAGAAAACGCCCGGGATACAGGCGCCACTGTATATTCGTGTTGTGTAAAATATATGTCTAATTATTATTTTGGCGGGCACATAGGCATGCAGTAGACATGTACAGTTGTAGAGCTGAACAACAAATTGCTTTTTAAAAAAGAAAACTCTTTGTCATAAATTTAATCCAGGATTCAATAATTGATAGATAATTGATATTTGAATAAAAATGCACTTTACATACAGTCTATAAGAAGTGTCAACACTTCGAATAAATATTTGGAGTACTTGACAATCCTGCCGCTACGAAAAAGGACCAAACGAAATGCCAAAAAATCTGTACAAAAACAAACAACACGTGCGTGAGACTGATTCTCTCTTTCGTTCTCTCTCTATCTGTGTCCGTTTAGCAGGGGTTGTTGCTATTGGGGGCTTGGAGTCCTGCGACGATGATGCCATGCGGATAGAGCAAATCCAACACGAACGGCTGCTGGACGTGTGCCGTGTGCGAATCGAGTGCGGAGCGCAAGCGAGAAATTATAGAGAAAGGCCAGACGACAGGCAGAGCGGGGAAAGAAACATTCTAATTCCGAGAAAAAAGTTAAAATTAACAAAGATATTTATAGAAATATCCCTCTAAGAAGAAATCAGTGCAGTTTCAAGTGTTTTCTTGTGGCTGTGAAAAAGTTCTAGGACCCAGAGGCGCAAAGTAGGTTAAAGCGGAGCGAGGGCAAGAGGCAGGAAAAGCCAGTCACAAGCAAAGGAAATTTTTTGGCTTTCCCTTTAGCCACATTTTGGAGGTCGGTGTCGGTCGGTTGGTGGTTTTTGTGGCTGGAGCTGCATGTGTGTATGCCGCAGGGGCAAGAGAAACTGCAAATGCAGTGCGCGTACAACAACAAAAGCGAAATGCAAAGGGCTTGATATCAAATAGCAAATGAACTTCGTATTTCTAAACATTTCAATTGATATTCTCTAACCAAAATCTAACAACAAAAAAAGTGATATTTTCTACAACTGTGGCTTGATTTTTGCACAGTACAAAACACACACACACACACAATACACATAGAGAGACACACAAGGGGGGACACACACAGAACAGACACCACACACGATAACTATATAGCAATATATGCCAATTGAGTGCCTTATATCATTTGATAATAATCCACAAGGTGTCTACTATGCCGGACAGGAGCTATCTGGCGTTGTTGATCTCAGCGTCGATGCCACCAAGCGGATCAAAGGTGAGCAGGAACAAAGGATATGATGTGCTATGCATCCATTAATATTTTGTTTTTACTTTTTATATTTTTTAAAGCCAAGCTTAAATCAAATATTCTAGAATTCCATAAGTTTCGCTCATACCACACATGACTCACGGGGCGTATGAGTGATGCGGAAAGGCACTTAACATTTTAGTTGCATTTAAATGCACGAAGGACACGAACTAATGCCATTATTAAAATGTATCTGGGGAGCCCCTCTGACGCCATTTTGTGTGTGCCATGCAATTAATCGTGGTTCCTGCCGGAACGGAAAGGGGGGGATACGTCTACGGTTACGACTACCCCTCCTTTTAGACCTCTGTTTAGTTGGAGCTTGTGGTAGTACTTTTTTGGTTCGTTTATGTGTTGTGTGTTTTCCTTTTGGCATGCCGCCATTTTTATTTATCCATGAACTCGTTAAAGGCGTGGCTGGTGTGTCTACGGCGATGACTACTCATGACGATGATGATGATGATGATGTTGTTTGCCGGATTGCAATTTAATTTGGAACCGAACTTAGTCATAGTTTTTTGGGGCCTGTTTTGACCTGGTTTTCTCTATGTCTCTCGTCTCTTTTTTAAAGGCATCCACGTCACTGTCAGCGGATATGCCAAGATACGCTGGATAAAAAAGGGATATCCGCGCGATAGCGAGCGCGCCATGTGCCGTGCCTATCGATCGTATCTGTCATCGAGATCGTACGTGCTAGGATCGTGCGCGAGCAACTCTTTTATCGACTGGCCCGCCGGCGAATACTCGTACACATTCCATGTCATCCTGCCCGACAATCTGCCAACATCGTTCGATGGTAAATACGGACAGATACACTACGAGATCATAACGACGATCGAGCGGGCCGGCCGATATCCAAAGGTATTCAAGCTGCCATTTACCGTGATACAACCATTGGACCTGAATGCCGATGCTATATACAGAGTGAGTACTCCCGATCGGGTATTAAAGTCTTCAAATGAAGCTAAAGTTATATCTGTACCTGTGATTTAGGTGCCCTTGGAGATACTCGACCGTAAGCGTTTCTGGAGCTTTTGCTGCCCCACTGGACCGCTGACTGTGAAGTTCTCAACACCCTACTGCGGCTATGCCCCCGGCCAGAAGATCCACTTTGTGCTGTACATCAACAACGAGTCCTCCATCGACATCACCGAGTGTGAGGTGAAGCTGAAACAGGAAGTCAGCTACGAGTCGCACGATCCCCATCATGAGTATCGCTACGACAAGCATCTGATAGCACGAAAACAGTTCGGGAATGTCTTGCGCTGGTCGAGGAAGGTGTACAGGGGATATCTGGATCTGCCGTCGATACCGCCCACATCGGTGAAGCCCACATGCCCCATTAGTGTTAACTATTCGATTAAGATCATTGTCAATCCAACGGAATTCCACTGGAAGCTGAAACTGAAGATCCCCCTGACCATTGGCAGCATTCCGATTATGGATGGACCGGAGGCCCTGCTGCGCTTCAATCGCCAGCAGCAACAGCACCAAGTAGTTAGTCAAAATTTACAAATGTCAACGCAACAACAAAGGCCGCGACACAGAGATCGGGATAGGGATCGTGATCGTAATCGGGATAGGGATCAGAATCAGAGGACACCTACCGCACAGCAGAGACAACATTTGAGTAGCATAACAAATAATAACAACAATCATGGACGTCTAGTGGGTGGACTACTGCCGACCAATAGCAATATGAATATGATAGTGAATGTCAGTCCAACGCCCACTAGCTCCACGCCTTCATCAACGCCAACAACTGCCGCCCTCAGGCCGCCTATGGCCTCCATGCTGCCAGCGATATTGGTGACCAGCGATAGCGATAATCCACCGGATTATATACCAATGAGTATGAGACATAAATCTGCTTAGATATTCCATTTATAATAAGAGATATCTCCTCATTTTTAGTGCCGCCCTCGTATGAAGATGCTATGGCTCTGAGTGAGAAATTCAGCGATGATACTGAGTTCTTAACAAACGTTAGCATGAGCAGCATTATGTCCGCTCAGGCTGTTGTTACCACAAGTGAGCCCTTTAAGCCGCGTTATCCGGTCTATTACGAATATGAGACACCGACCATACCGCCCGGTAGTGATGATTCCAATGAATCCGACACATAAAACATCCCCTCCAAAACATAAAAAAAAAACAAAATTGTTTAACAAAAACTGCAAAAAGAACCAAAGCAAAAGCAAAACTAAAACAATTGAATGGCTGAGTGGCATTTTCTACAGCAAATTCTTATTTTATTCCTTTACTTAAAAGTAGTTAGAAAATTGTTCTTTAATCTTTTGTATTCTGTTAAAGTATTGAGAGATAAAAATCCATATGAAATGGTCTATAAACTTTGTCTGTTTGAACATTATTCCAACTGTCTGTATTTGTCTGATGTTCTTAAAAATATGTACAGTGATGTTATCTATTTGTATACCTTTAATCTGTTGTCTTGTCAAGCTCTTCATCTGTCCGTCTGTGTATTTTTAAGCCTTTAGAGTGCTCTTCCGAGTCCTTTTTCCAGTCTGTCCTGTCCTGTCTTGTTCAATATATTCCTCTTTTGCTATCTCTTTACTTATCAGAATATTACTTACTCAAATATCATATTCAATATTTATTCTTATTATAAATGAAATTCTGTAATACATTAAATTGCACGTTTTATCATATTTATATTTAAATATGAAATTGTCCAAGTGTTTATTCCATTAAATTAGTAACAAATTATTGTGCATTTGCTCCAAATAATTCCATTATTTCCATTATATTTCAATGAAAAATACATATATATACTTTTTAATTTAGAAATTAACATTTGAATTCCAATTGATATGAAAAATATATATTTATAAACAACAAAATATCATTATATTGAATTTAATGCTTTCTTTGAGCATTGATTAAACCTTAAGCTGAATATATAACCGATTTATGATATAAGAACCACAACATATACTATATCTTTTTTCTCAACTTTCATCTTTTCGTACTATGCATTTTTCTTATAATTAGATGTAAGCCAACTGCAAGGGTTTTTCAAAAAATGTGCTTAACTTGTAAATTTGTTCTCTTGTTACCGCTCCCCACAACATGCAACATGCTACATATTTTGTACCGTCCATAACCGACCACGACCACACCCTCAACGACACCTCAACATATTGTTCTGAACTCTGATATATGATCCTGTACCTGATCCTGCTACAGAGACGCTTTACGATGAGGCCAATGCCCAGCTGCGCCTCGCCCTGAACCCGGAATCGGCAACGGAGATGGCGACAGCAGCAATGATGGATGAGGAGGTGACCACCAGCACACCGGGAGGAGGAGGAGAGCTATCCTTTAGCTATGAAAAGAAATGATTAACAAAAACGAAAAACACCAATACAACAATTACATATTTACTCGTAATCAAAATATTATATAGAAAAGGATTGGAATGGAAATCGGAGATAGAGAATCGAACATTTTTATAGAAGCGAAAACCGTATAAAAAAATATAGTATATATTTTGCAGCAAAGTAGAATCTATCTAGAATAAACCGATTTGAAATGATTTGAATTTTCCTTATTTATTTAAACTATAACTTTCAAGCTATGCTTTCTAACCTTCACTTTAAACTATGCCTAAATTGCACTCAAACCTTAATTCTTGTCTTCCATTCTCCTTTTCTGTCCCTTGTCTCTTAAAAAGAATTGAGTTTCTCATGCATTTGTTTGATAAAGCTAAATAAAAGTTGTCAATAAAAGTTGTCAAAAATGTATACACCTATACATATACAGTGAGCACTGGCCACGAATATATACGAGTACGAAAGAAAAAACGTAGTTAAAACTTAGAAGAAAAGAAAACACTCTTTTTAGGCCTAAGCTAAACGATAAACCAGAACAGAACCCAAAACAAATCTGCACAATTTTAACCGAATAAAAAAACTACAATTAACATACGAAATTAACATTTTCCAAATATTCAATGTATAGAATATTAAACAAACAAAAAATATGCGAAAATTTACACAAAATTTAGCCAAATTCTTCTGCGTTTATTTATGATTTCTCATGAAGAATTTTTAGTTGAAGCATCATAATAACCTTTTAACATAGGTGTCTAAACATACAAAAATATTATACACATTATGGAAAACATATATATAGAAAGTGAAGTGTCTTTTGCTCTACCTTTATATTTCGATTGTGTGACTCTCCTCGTATACAATGTATACTTTGTACTTCCCTTGATTTTCAAAAGCCAGTCTAACCAGAAATCTTATAAGTATACTATTCCTAAGTCTTATCTGTCTTCAATTCGATTAAATCCAAAGTCAATAAAGCAACATATATGTGAATCAGAGAAAACTGTAGTTCGTACTAAAGTTTATTGGATTCTCCTTCGCTTTTAGGGGCTATTCATTCATCTGTTCCGCCAGAAACAGAAATCTCAAACCCTAAGCCAAGTCGTAAACCTACTCGTAATTTATCTTTATTTCCAGTCCAGCCAAAACAGACGTCGACCCACAAAATCGCAAAATCACAAAAAGTAACAACAAAACCCGTTGTACGCGTACAATTGTGTGGCGTGTGGCTAGTACTTTCAGAGCTCCATCAGAGGCCCCAAGTTGTCGCAGTCACTTGTCAGCCGCCTGTCGACGAGGCCGCACTTCGAGTCGCCTCAATGTTCGGGGGTCTCAATCGCGTGTAGTGAAATTATATCACAAATTATACATATAATTCTTGTTCTTTTGTTAATGATATGCAATTTGCCAAACGATTGGCCAGTGAAAATGCCAATAGATTGTGATTTTAATTTATCGCGTGCCGCTGCCGTGTACTACACTGGTGAACAAATTTCGGGTTGTCTCTCAATAAAAGTGGACCGCAAGAAGCCTGTTCCCGTGGAGGGTAAGTGGCAGATGCCATTAGACAAGTTAGTTTCGTATCTGTTTGAGATTTTATACGTTCCTGAGCAGAGATTAGATAAGAAAAGACAATGGGGAGACATATATGTTAGATAGGCCATCGGTCATACTGATCTCGTACCTTTCACAGACATAAGCATCATCCTAAGTGGCATCAGCTATGTACACTGGAAGGAGTCCCTCGGTGGACCACCACAAATCGAACACAACGACAGCTCCAGGAGCTGCCTGGAGGAGCCAACCAAAGTGGATTACACAGGCAGCAAAGTTCACATAAATCAAGTTAAGAAGTTGACCGCTGGACAACGCCTACTTCCGGGCATTACCCAACTGTGGAACTTTGACTTTGAACTTCCCGAAAGTCTGCCAGCCACTTGTCGAGTTGGTCATGGCTCTGTCGAGTATACCCTTAAAGTGATTATTGAACGAAGGAGCAAACATTTCAAGTGCTTCACGCAGCGTTTGGTCATCAGAAGAAGCCTCGCACTTACAGATCTCCAGCCGCAAATGAAGGAGGAATCATGCCTGAGACTATGGCTTCCAAGAAGTGTCTTTGTGCCAGGTCAAAGTGTTGTCTATGAAGTGGCATCGAAGGATGGCTCTGCTGCCATCACACGGCTATGTCAGTGTATCTATTATGAGGGTCAAAATCCTGAAAGAAAGATAAAAAAAGTCATACGTATCCTATCAGAGTGCTCCGAATTCCAAGCTGAACTTCGTTTGCCTTTGACCTCCCCGATTATGACTGATGAAAGGCAGCCACAAGCCATAGAAATCAGTTATTATATCGAGACTCTAAGCCACATGAAACCTCCTCTAAGGCTGCCAATTTGTGTGGGAACTTCAGCACCACCTGCTATTTCTATTGTTGAATCTTCCCGTCTTTGTTTTGTGAATTTAGGTGAGTATGCCACGATACCTGTCCTGTCGTGATCTCATTACACCTGGTTCTACTTTTAGCCCTCAGTCAAAGCGAATTGTGTGAGCCAATTAACCAGCTACTGGCCCACAGCTACTATTCCCATGAAAGTGGTGCCCTGGCCCTAAATAAACACTCCGAACGGATTAAATTACTGACATGCCAGAAGAAAGAGTCGTATGTGCAATTTTTAATGCGGTATTTCTATAGAAGACTGCTACCATAGCACGTGCCTGACTGGGGAATATCAATAGAAAATTATGCCATGGAATTCACAAGTTTATAATGATATACGTTTGGAAATGACTGGAATTTTAGCGCAACTTAAATGAGCAAATAAACTATACAATGGGAATCGAGGGAGGAGTGTCCCCATTAACCTTAGAATCTCATTCTCTCGTTTTTACTCTATTAACAGTATGTAAAAGTAGCCGAAATACTCTCCTTCGATACAGGCACGTATCTCATCTTTCATCCTTTGTCTGTATTTGCCAACCCTTAATCCAATCTACTCTCCACTTCATTATCGCAATTATGCATGCAAAATTAATGGAGCAAAAGCAGACCACCCAAAAAGATGTCGAGGTCTTAATTGTGCCACATAATGTGGCAACAAAGTGGTCGAACGGGTTGGAGGCCAACACCCAAAACATCCAATAATGTACTTTGTCGTGACGCACTTTGATTGCTTTTGTGTTTGGTCAAGAATTGATGTATGGTAATACTCTTACTCGTATGTAGGCAGATATTGTTGGCTCCTGACCTCGCCAGCATCCGCCCCGTTGCGTTTTTGGCCATGTTTTTGTTTTGGGGCTCAACAAAGGAAACCGAAAGGAGAGAAAGAAAGACAGAAACAGAGACAGAGACAGGGAGAGAGAGAGAGCCGGATAGTCAGTGGCGGCTGCTCCATTTCCGAGCGATTCGCGTTGAAATATTAGACCAGAAGCAGACAGTAGACACAGGCTGCACAGACGCAAGGCGCCAACTTATTGATTCGTTGTCCCCGCCGCCAGTCCGCCAATCCTGCCCCAAACCACCGAAAAAGGGAAAGCCTGAAAGACGGTGGCGGCAGTGGCGGCACTGTTGGCAGTGGCGGATGCTGTATGCCACACAACACAAAGAGGTCCGTGCCGCAGAGAGAGCTCAGTGCGCGTCTGGCTGTGTGGAAGTTGGGCTGTGTTGGCTCTCTGCGGTTTTTTCTTTTGTTGATATCCTTTCGAATGCAGTAGAAGTGCAAAATTTGAAGCGACGCCATGCCCACCACCTGTGTTTTTCAGCTGGATCGACTGAATCCCGTCTACAACAGCGGAGAGTACATTAGCGGACGCATTCTGTTACGAACGGATAAGGTGAAGCGCGTCAATGGTGAGTCCTTGGATCAGAAATATCAGAGGAATATCAACCATAAAGGAGCTACAATTCCATTCAATTCCCAGCGGTCTATGTGACACTGGAGGGCGAGGCCAAGGTTCAGTGGACAATGAGCGGGAAGAGCGAAACGGCCAATTATTCGGGCCATCAGCAGTACCTGCACTCCCGCACGAATGTCTTCGACAACACCCTGTTCCGTGCTGGCGTCCATGTCTACGTCCTGACTCTGCGCATCCCGCCCGATTGTCCAAGCAGCTGCAAGGGGCCCTATGGCTACATTGCCTATACCATCTCCCTGACCATCGACAAGCCCTGGGGATTCGATGAGGTCTTTCGCAAGCCCATCACAGTTGTGCAGACATTGGATCTTAACTTCAATACAGAGTTTGCGGTGGGTTCCTTGAACTTTAGAGCATTTTCCTATGATATCTAAAACGTATCTTACATGCAGCTTCCGGTCAAGGATGAGAACGTGAAATATCTTTGCCATTGGCCCTGCGTTTCGGGTCCCATTTGCTCGTCCCTGGCCTTGCCTGCCTCTGGGTTTACGCCTTTGCAGGAGGTGCCCTTCCGCCTGGAGGTGGACAATCAATCGCCGCACTACGACATCATCGGCGTGGAGGTCTCCATCAGGCAGCACTTTGTCTTCCTCTCGCGCAAACCCGTAAAGCGCAATTTCTATACCAAAACGCTGACCAAGGAATTGATCACGGATCGCACTCTGCGGCTGTCCAAGCGGCAGTATGAGTCCAGCATCTGCGTGCCCATGGACACGCCCCGTTCCACCTTGAACACCAATTACATTGTCTTTCTCCACTACACGCTGCAGGTGAAGCTAAAGACGGGCTGCTTTCACTACGACACGGACCTGTCCGTGCCCATTATTGTGGGCACCACATCGCTGCAGCATTTGCGGAGCTCCGTCCACACCACACAACCGGCGGTGAGGACAACCACCCCGGAGAGGCAGCGACTGATAGAGCGAGTGTCACCCCGTCCCCCAGTGGTGGTCGAGGAAGAGGAGACGATCCTGGAGACGACTACGGATGATCCGCATCAGGCGATAGATGATGATGAGCCGCCCTCGTACGATAGTTGCCGTAAGTGTAATGCAATCCAAGACTGGGTTTTGATCTAATTTTCTTTCTTCTTAATTTTTCTTGCAGTTCCACCTTCCTTCAGCTTTGCCACTCTTGCAGGCAGCCAACAGACCCTGGAAAGCCATGGCGGCCAACATGTGGTCCTCCATCAAATCCATATGCCTAAATTTCCAGGATTCAGCACCTTTATTGGAAGGGCTCCGGCCCAGGGAATGGAGGATTCCGGTCTGGACATGCAGTTGTATCGTTCGTATGGCTCTTTGAACACCGATCAAACGGGTCGTAGTCTGGACACCTTTGGTTCCCTTTGCGGTCCGCTGTCCGAGCAAGTAGAGCTAGAGAATGAGAACGAAGTGCAGGTGCAGGTGGAAGTGGAGGTGGATGTGGATGTGCCAGCACAAGTGCATCAGCCACGACCACGCCCTCGCCAGATAGAGGCCATTCAGCAGGATGAGCATCTATTTTAGGAATAAAAGTGTCTTAAATCGATAGCGATATACGTATTAACATCCTAAGTAACATAAGTGTTCAAACCAAAAGGCTTAATCCATATACATTTTGTAGGGTGGACCCGAGTCCGTCGTCCTAGGATTACAGAGTGAAACGAACTTATTGAAGTGCCAAAAAACATACATTTTTCTAGCATATAGTATATGTATCTTATTGCTTTTTTACATCCAATCCATATAAAAATATATTCGATTTATTATATTTACCACAATAATTATCCTAAGTACAGACTAATACGTTCATCAGTGGACAATAAATAAAGGTATACCTACAAATCAATTTGTTAATTGGATCGTCCTTGAATCGTGAGTGCCGTTAGTGGCAGTGGACGGACCCTCCCCATATGTATGCTACACCAGACACTCGACTCGATGTAATGCATTTTAATTAAATTATAAATTGTTGGCCAAAAGCGATAACGACTGCCATCGGAGTCCAAGACCCAGTCGGAGATTAGATTGAGGCGATAATAACCATGGTATCGCTGGTAGCATTCACACCTATAGTATAACCGATAAGGCCTGAATAGTTTGCCTGTTTTAATGGGCGAACATATTGTCGACAAGTGCCAGACATCACCGAGCAGTCGTCGAGTGAAGAGAGTCGAGTCTGACAGAATGAACTACCGCTGTGACATGCAATTGGACAGCCCCAGTGGGGTCTATCGAGCCGGGGAGACAGTTAATGGCCACATATATCTAACCCTAACGGAGCGTGCCCTAATAAAAGGTAAGAGAACTGAGAAGTGACTCATGGGGATACTCCATTGATAAGAACCCTCAAGAGCGGTATGAATCATCGGGGATCAAGATCAAGTTCCATTTATGGTTTGGCTGATAATGGGCCTTGGACCTGAGTGAAAGTGGCTTTATTTATTGATTACCAGTTTGATAACCTTATCATTATTTTCTGCTGAGTGTTCCACAGTGTTCAAAATTGTGTGGTAAAAAAAACCCCGAAATATATAACAAAAGCCCATTGCATTTCCAGCCATTTCCCTGGAAGCAAACGGATTTGCAGCCACTGGATGGCTGAAGCCACAAAAGGCAGGAAAACCGAAGAAATCCCAGCAGCAAAATCTTCAAGTGGAAAAGCAGCCTTTGGCCTTTGAGAATCGTGTGGATTACTTTGCTAAAATCGATTACTTTGTGGGATCGGAGGCATCACAGCCACAGATCATAGAGGCCGGCACCTATAGCTATGGTTTCCATGTGAAGTTGCCCAAGAATTGTCCCAGCAGCCATGAGGGCGCCCACGGACACATCCGATATACTTTGCAGCTGCTCATTCACAGTAGTGCGGATCGACCAATAGACGTGATCCACACACGCCAGCTGCAGGTCTACTCCGAGAGCGAACTGTGCAAGGAGTCCCGAATCGGAGAAGTGCAGTGTCTGGAGCAGACGCCACGAATGAAGTTCTGGCAGAAGCCCCTGCAGCTGAATTTGCAGATTCCCCGCCAGGGATACTCGCCCGGGGCGGGTATTTCGGTGCATGTGAAGCTGCACAATCCCCAGCAGCTGCTGCTCACGGAGGTGGTCTACAGGCTCAACATGGTCAGCACCTATGTGGGCCTGCAAACAAACAAACCAAAGCGCCGGGACATCAAAGTCGAGAGGCAAACGCTTCTGAGCAGCGGCCACGAACTGGTCAGCCTGCCCCGTAGCGAGCTGGAGCATTTCCAACACCTTCATATGCTCCAAGTGCCCCAGACGCCGGCCACATTAGCCTCGGCAGCCTGCGCCTGCCTGCAGATCAACTACGAGGTAGAGGTCCTAGTGCGCACGCAGCAGGAGAAGCGCTCCATCATGGCACAAATCCCCATTACCATTGGCAACGTGACGCCACCCTGTCCGAATTCTATACGTTCAATGAATCCCCTGAATGCCTCGGCCCCGGAACAGACGCCCACGCCGGGCGCAGCCACGAAATTGGCTCCCGACTTTAGCGCGTCCATGACCTCATTGGGTATGTTGTATTTTTTGATTTTGATTGATTTGAGACATGCCAATGCTCACCCTTGCCATCTTCCTCCCACCCTTTTTATAGCCTCCAATTTTCGCGAGGCGGAATTTATGACGGCCACCAATTTGAATAAGAACAACAAGCATGCCCTGTCCGGGGAGCAACTGGACTTTAAGCCACGTTATCTCTACTACGAACTGGACCAGAACCAGACCCAAGAAGAGATCGTGTCTCATTGAGTGGGCAGCGTATTTACAAACTATTTATTTTACAAATTAAGAAATTCATAACAAAAAAAAGTTGGAATTTTTTTACAATCAAAATTTGTTGGTATTACAGATATAATTTATTAAAAAATAACAATTAAAAGTTCACAAAATATATCTAAACAACATTAAATTTGTTGCTTTTGTTGTTTATGTGGGAGTCCTTTTCGGTAGTTCTAATTATCATTGATCAGAGTGCAGGACAAGTCTCTTAAAATAAACTTATAATATTAATATCTTCAATCAATTCGATGCGTTTTTTTGCATAATTAAAGGCACATTAAAATTGCGTACGTAAAAGATACAAATGCTAAATTAATCACTTAAAAGGGATTGTACGACAATCAAGATTCTCATTTCTCACAAAGTCTGGCTGTGGGAGACTACTACATATTGGCATTCCAGCCATATGTTGCTCCACTTTCAGTAACTCCATTCGAGTTCTCTGCATTCGTTGGGGCAGTGGAGCCATGGGGCAGCGACAGAACTGGTACAGCCGAGGGTAGAGAGTCGCTTGGCTCTGGCGGTGCCGTGGGCTGTGCAAAATTCGTGTACATGGGATAGCGGGGTATGAAGTCATTCGTACGATTGTGCTCGTCCACGTCCGTGTCAATGAACCTGTCGCCCAAGTTCGTGGCCTCCTCGAAGGATGGCGGCTCTGAGGGGAAAACAAAAAGACAAGTGCTACAGAGATATCAGAAAAACAAAGGATCAATCAGAACTTACTGCAATTGTCATAGCTGGGTGGCATATCCCCACCAGTCGCTCCCGCCGGAGTATCGGGCGTATGCGGTATCCATTCGGCCACATGCGTGGGATCTTCAGCGCTCTGCGCCAGGGGTATAGTGCCAATCACAATGGGGACATCGAACTCCGAGTCCATGTGGCAGTCGCCCATTTTGATCGAGAAGAGTACCCTGTAGCTAACGGTTATGATGGAATCTGTCCTCGAGGACGGCGGCACCGACGGAATGAGCAGGCTGCCTTTGATAATGCGCTTGGAGAAACGCAGCACTCGCTCTCCCTGGCAACAGCCATGCAGCTTCTTCTCGATATCACGGGTCTTGTGATGGGGGGTTTCCGCCTTGAACAGGCAGACTTGTTTCAGCTGCAGCTCAATGCCGTCCAGGTCATAGGCACCCGACTTATTGTCTATTTCCAGGGTATAGTGAATCTTTTGGCCCGGCGCATAGCCACCAAAGGGAATAATGAGGGTGGACAGTACCGGACCGGAGGTGCAGGGCCAACAGCAGAAATACTTGACATCCTCACGTACGAGGGGAATCTGCAAAGAACAGAACGCATTAGTAGATGAATAAGGCAGAAATCTATTTATATTCTCACCAACAACTCTGGGGACATATTTAGATTATAGCTTTGGAGCACCGTCAACGGCTGCTTGAAGTCTTTATTGAAGCCCCACTGCTTATCGATGACTAATGAGATCTCATAGTGGATCTTTCCGTATTTCATATCGCACGATGTTGGGCAATCCAGTGGCAGGGGTATGCAGAAAGTGTACTGGTGGGTGCCACTCGGCAGATCGCCCGACCCGAACACTTGGGTGTGGGTTTTCAGATAGACTTGCTTGCCCCGATAATTTTCAGTGTAGTGTTGCGTCTTTCCATTGCTTGTCCGGGTCTTGTGTTCGTCCCAGCTCACTTTCGCCTCGCCACGGAAGAGTATATAGACCTCTGGAAGGGAGAGGGACAAACGGGAATCAAATTAAATTAGTGCGTTCGAGATATCCCTGTCTTGAGGCAACACTGTACTCTCATTTTCATTGACTCTTCTTCTTTGTGCTTCCTATGCCGCCGGCGTCGTTCTGTTCGATTCAATTCGTGAGTCGATAAGCAAACAGTGGGATTAATGTCGATATAATTCGAACACAAGCCAATGAACTACACAGAAATCGTTGGAGCTTTCATTCATCCCACTGTATGGGGCGTTTCGACTTGTTGCTCTCCCACCAATTCAAAATAATAATTATCTTTCAACAGAACTACTTATAAATAGTATATGCACATGTTTATGTACTTACTATAGACGTGTGTACAAGGCTTATTTATGTCAACAGAGAGCGCATAGAGAGCGACCTAGACCCATACAAAAACTACCAAACTATAAGGAATTCCCTCTAGATATGAAATGTTTATCATTTATATGGTATCTTAAACTGGTTTTCACTTGCTAACATTCTTTTAAACCGGTTGTGTTGCTCATTGTTGCATCGCATTGCTTATCACTATAGCGATAAGAGCACTTTATTAATAGTTGTGTTAGGCTCTTACCATTCACCGACTTGTTGGAATCTGTATGGAGATTAATGCGACCATTGATTACCTCGCCGCTGTAGTAAATTGGATCGCTGTGATCTAGTTCAAAGGTACAGACCGTTGGCATTTTGGCTTCTAAACTAAACTCTCAATTTTTCAAATGGCGTGCAGCACACCAATTAAAAATTTTAGTTTTAAAGGAACATTTGTAGAATATATGTATTTATTCTGCGTACATGCAAAAAAACAGACCAAACAACAACCGACCGAAACGAAAATGAACGGGTAAATAAGTTTCAGAAGCTCTGGAAAAGAGAGAGAGAGAGTGGTGGAGCAGCTGGCGTGACATCATCAGTTGGTGAGAGCGAAAGCTTTTGCCGATTGGAGCTTTGAGGCGTGCGCTCTCCCAAAGATACGTCACATTCTGTAGGCCGTTTTTGTTGTTGTTGTTACACTGATATTCTTGGCTTTTGTTACGAATTTCGAGGTCAAGAGACAAAAACAAAAATCTTATTAAATGATATTTTAGGCTCCAAAAAGTTCAATTTCCAAAAACAGCTGTCTGAATAAGTAGGGTCTTTTAGGGTTGCCCTGGATTTTAATTATAAAAATTGAATTTACATTGGAACAAATATTATATCAATGGATTTTAGCCCCAGAGCTTGTATATTCTCAGTATTAATCAAAGGTCAAAGGTTAGAGTGCCATAATTTCTGATATAATTCAAATATTTGTTCAATGCTTCGATAAGGCTTTAGTTTTTGCGTTTGAAGACAGCATTATTTTATCGTAGTCGTGGAAGACACTTTTATACCCTTGTTTGTTTATTTAACATTCTGTATGTGGGGGTATCTTTGAATAGATTGTATACATATGTATGTACATATATGTATATGTAAAAGTTAACAGTTTGGTTAGTTCTTGGGTCTTGGGACACCGTAAAGCGAAGCAAAATACTGCCAGAGATAAGATATCGTTGTGATTTCCCGTGATAAGCGCCCCGCTCAAATCTGCACGGGGGACTCGACTGGTTGCTTCTCCAGCTGTTGCTTCTCCGGATTTGATTTTTGCTGACCCGGATCGGCGGGTCTTCGGCGACGACGACGTCTCTTCTTCTGTGGAGGATTTGGTGGTGGGGTCTGGAAGGTATCCACATCGAAGACGGGATACCGGGGCGTAAACTGGGAGGCTTCGCTCACGGTATTGGCATCTGTGTCGGCTATGTCGGTGGACATGAAAATAGCCTGTTCATATGTTGGAGGAGCTATGGGTAAATAAAATTAATAAAAATTCTTTGGGGATCATTATGTGGGACATACGTAAATCTGCAACGAATTCATCGGCTGTTTCCAGCTCATCATCGCCATCCTCTGGCAGCTCGAAATCTTCCAGTGATTCAGTCCGCTCGTAGCCAGAATTATTCATTCCTCCTCCCACTCCCATTTGTGCGAGTTCCATGGCTCGTGTGGAAGTGCAGGGCAAATCCGATGGGAGGGGCGTCTGAGGGAACGAAGGACCCGCTGTGGTCAGTGGGACATTGCCAATGGTAATGGGTATGACGACCCTCGGGTTGGGCATCAACCAATTCATTACGGCCACCACTCGCACCTCATAGGACACCCTCACCACCTTGCTGAGGTGCTCGCAGGTGGGGGCCGTGGCCGGTATGCGCAGCGTCTCCGTGTATATCTTCTGGGCGTGATGGGCCACGGGTCCGCATTCACGCTTGACCAACATGATCTTCTCGGAGGTGGTGCGTAGCGAGGGTTGATCCGCCGTGTAGGTGGACCGCAGATGGATCATAATCAACAGCTTCTTGCAATCGGAACTGGAGTCGTTGCGCACTTGGGCGTGGATTAGCATAAACTGTCCCGGGACATAGCCCTGCTGCTGCAGTGTCACCTTCAGTTCCACGGGATGTGTGTGCATCATGCAGAAGTATTCAAGGGCCTCATTGCTCGCCGGTTCGCGGAGCATCTTACTCTCCTGATTCAGATCCAATAGTTTGAGTACAGTGAAGCCCACATTGTGGGTGCGGTTTGAGGCTCCTGCCTTCAGAAACGTCACCTTTGCCAGGTACCGTATGTGTCCGTAGGCACCCTCGAAGGACGATGGGCAGTGGTTGGGTATGGGACAGGCAAAGGTGTAGGTGTATGTGCCCGCATCAATGTTGAAACAGCTGCCCTGCTCCGATCCCATCAGATATGTGGTGGAGGCTATGTAATCCTCGCGTCCACTGAACATGTTTTTGGTTCTCTTCTTTGGATTCTGTATGGGCATGGCTTTGCCACGTCTTCGAACCCTCCATTGGGCCAAGGCATAGCCACTGATTTGCAGTTTGATTCCTGGAAAAAAAAATAGAAGAGAATTACGGCCAAATGTTTTCACTTTTATTTATTGAAACTCAAAAACCTGCACAAAAAAATGACTAACACCCTCTGGCATTTCCTGAATTTAATGTCTAGCCAATTAAATAACTTTTGTGTGTACATCCCCCACGCACCCACACACACATACACTCTGAGGTGTGGCTGGTGGCATCATCAATTATCAAAAATACATAGTATATAGATTTCGCTGCGGTTATCATTAAATTACCCATTTGTATGGTTTTTAGAAATGGTTTTGCATTGCGAAAACGCCAACATTATCCAACGGCGATAAGATACGCCCGAAACAGATAAGCAGACAGCCACTGTAGATGGTTAATGAAATTTGGAAGGGATAGGGATCCCTATCCAATCAGATCCTAGTTTACTTACCACGCAGTTTCTTGGTCTTTGTCAGATTAACAATCACTTTCCCGGTTACCACCTGGCCGGTGAAATAGGTACCGTGCTCATTCTGATCGAACGTTATCATGCAGTTCTTGGACATATCGGCGATGGTGGGTCTCCACTTATCAGCTGTTTTCAGTGAGCGATCCGACCGCACTCGTTGCCCAGCGTAGACTGAGACTATCTCTGGTTTTAGCCTGGCCTATGCGCACCCGTAACAAATATTGACTGGGCTTTGGCATTATCTTATCGGTCCACTAACTCTCCACAAACACCACAGAAAATGTTGCAACGAAATCAGAGAGAGAGAGAGAGAGAGGTGAGTTTTGAGTGAAAATTTCTACCCCACAAACTTCTGGGAAAATTCAATAGACTTATTGACGGTATACTTTAGAGATTACAACCCCCTGATAATTATATATTTCTATAGCTATCTCGTATCTCTCGTACCTCAACCTTCGCGAGTCACTAGCCCTAGAGTTATCAATTTTTTTCCTCACGTCATTCCATATCCAGCAGTTACACATGTAAATACATCAATAGAAATATGCAGTAAATTAACTTTTTAAATACATAAATAATTATCACATTGATAAGATAATAAAGCACACAAAAAATATTGCCCAAAAGTACAGAATAAATAGTGCCAGTTGTCTTCAGTTTGCAGGGCGACGACGCTTCGGAAAGGTTACAGAAAATACCATACTCGTTGCGTGATCATCGGTAAAAATCAATCAGAAGTATGGTAATCTGTGAGATAGAGTTTAATAACAATGCCCAGGGGATTTACTATGCCGGGCAGGTGATCTCTGGTCAAGTGGTGATCAAAACGGACAAGGTGAAACAGGTTAAAGGTGAGTCATATCTCTTTGGAGGGGAGTTTTTTGTGGGTTTCAAAATTACTTAACAAAATAATCCACTGATAAATGTCTACTCTATTTTTAGCTGTGGTACTTAAAATAAAAGGATATGCTGAAACACATTGGATGGATACCGAATACGATTCGGGGGATCAATCGAGTGGCTCGTCGTTTAATGGACATGTGGATTATCTGGCCACAAAGGCATATCTGCATGGATCGAGCTCCAGCATAGGCAAGATCAAGGAAGTATACAAAAATATACAATTAGGAGTAAAATATCCCCATTTTAGACGTGCCAATTGAGCCTGGCACGAGAACATACCGGTTTGCCTGCCAAATACCCTTGACCTGTCCCTCATCTTTCGAGGGTACTTATGGTCGAGTGCGTTATATTGTAAATGTGATGTTTTTACGTCCCTGGACCTTTGATCAGAACTTTAATCGTTGCTTTACTGTCCTTAAAGTGATGGACTTGAACACGGAGAGCCTGATGTTGAGGGTAGGTATGGGGCAGGAATCTCCCTTAGATTCAGATCTCTTCTTTCTTTTAGGTTCCGACTCAAGTCGAATCTCAGAGGACCTACTGCTGTTTTCCCTGCACCTCGAAACCACTGAGTCTTCGCCTCTCCTTGCCCCAAGGTGGCTTCGTACCAGGACAGACTATACCCATAGGTGTCCTCGTCTCTAATGACAGTTCCATTCAGGTTGAGGAAATCACCGTTCGATTGACTATGGTCGTTATATACTACAGTCGGCCCCCGTGTCCGGACACCAACAAGGACCGCTTTGTGGTTGCTGAGAAGGCGGGCGAGGGTGTCTCGAAAAATAGACGAAAACAATTCACTTTTGATCTTAAAGTGCCAGCCACGCCGCCGACCTGCTTCAACCTCTGCAGCATCATTCAGATCGCATATCAGGTGGAGGCTGAGGTCAAGGTCAAGGGCTGTCATTCGGGTCAGAGTGTTCATATGCCAGTGACTATAGGAAGCGTACCACTGACCAAAGAACTGCAGAAGCAACCCAGCACTTGGGAGGGCGATCTACTGCCACCAGAAGTGGATGCCAAGGCTTTGATTTTGATGGAGGAAGACGTGGTTGATGTGGCAGTTTATCCACCCAGTCCCTGGGCAGCAGATCCTTCTATACGTAAGTAATTGATTATCTTATCTCGAATTCTATTGAGATTTTGTGCATTTTCAGCGGCACCAAAGTTCTCTGAGGCCAAACACATACGAACAAATGGCAAAAGGTCATCCAAGTCGAAGAATAAATCCCTAAAGAGGGCCCAATCCGAAAAGATTGTATATACCCCTTTGTATGCTGTCTTTGATCTGCCCACTGAAATGGAAAATTCTATTGAGATACCAAAGAGCTATCAGTCAGAAGGAGGTTTTATCAATGAGGATATCGATAGAAGCACTTGGATGTAAGGAACATTTGTGTAATAAATTATTAAAATATACCAATAAAACAATGAAAGTATAGCCTTTCGACTTCGTGCGATTATTGCTAGGCATTTACTGAGACTGAAGAGAAGACGAGAATATTTCTATACTATCTGGGACCCAGGTGCCTCTCCTCAATTGTTTGAGTTGAGTGGAAAGCTATGGCTTCTTTCGTACCCCGAATGAGTCAATTGTTCCTCGAATAAAAGGTGAACCCCCCCTGAGTTGCTCATTTGGTTATCTGTCTATCTCTTATCAGTATTATAGTGCCGACTGATATTGTTTCGCACACTTTTGTTTGTTGCTGTAAGCGATGGTGATCAATGCAAAGAAATTTGTTGTTTCGTTTACCAAGAATTATATTTATGATGGCTTTGATAAGATAATTCAAGCCCACCACCAAAAAAAGCACAAAAAGAACTAGAAAGAAGGCTCCTATTGTCAGTACGCTATAAGCCATCGAAGGGGAAACAGTGCTACAATCAAACAAAAGCAATAACCAGAGTGATTCCTATTGTAAATCAACGTTATCTTTAGAATCATGGGGATAATTTGTCAAATTCTATTTCATAACAATACCCATGGGGTTTACTATGCCGGACAAACGATTTTTGGCCAGGTGACACTCAGCACGGACACATTGAAACAAGTCAAGGGTGAGTGCGTGATTATCAAAAGTGCTCCAGATTAGATTCCCAATAATTCCCCCCATTCTCATCGTCAGCCATTTTCCTAAAGGTCAGAGGATTTGCCGAGACCCATTGGACGGAGAGCCGAACGGATTCGAATAACAAATCCTCTTCGGAATCGTACAATGGATTTGAAAAGTATATGTCCAGCAAGGTCTATCTCTTTGGTTCGAGTACCAGCGCTGGTAAGATCGAATCTTAAGGGTATTGTCTCTCAACTTCAAGGGCACATATCCTTTTTCAGAATCTCCCTTTGAGCCGGGGACAAGGACATACCAGTTTGCTTGTAAAATACCCGACCATTGTCCCTCTTCGTTCGAGGGAAACATTGGTCGTATTAGCTATAGGATCGGCATCAATATCGTGAAATCCTGGAATTACGATAGTTTGTTCTCTCGTACTTTCACTGTGCTGCAAACGAAGGACTTGTTCGGCTACAATTCTGTTGATCATGTGAGTTTTTCATTTAGAAAATATAATTACTTTTCATTAAATTATTGATTTAGGTTCCAGTGCAGGCAAAGTCCGAAAAAACCTTTGGTTTCTGGCCCTTCAAATCGGATCCTTTGAGCCTGGAGCTAATGCTGCCCCAATCGATCTTTGTGCCGGGCCAAACGGTTCCCTTGTGTGTCCTGGTGGGAAACGAGAGCAACATCAAAGTGCACGAGCTAAAAGTGAGCCTGGCCATGATCGTCACTTACTATAGCGACCTGAGTAGTGGCCAAAATATGGAGCGCTTCTCAGTAGTCAAAATGAAAGCCGATGGGGTGTTGAGAAACACCCGAAAGCAATTCGAGTTCCAGCTGCAAGTGCCCTCCACTCCGCCCACGTGCTTCCATCTGTGTCGCATTATCAAAATTTCCTACCAGATCGAAGTGGTGGCCAAAGTCAAGGGAATGCATGTGAATGCCACACTCAATGTGCCTGTGACTATCTGTGGTGCGCCTCTGTCGGCGCAGATACGGCAAACACTGCAGCAGGAGAAGGTGGACGAGGACAAGCCCCTGGTGCCAGATCCAGCAGCCTTGACTTTGATTCCAAGCGATGGCCAACAATTTGTAGAAGGTGCTGCTGGTCCAACCGCTCCTGACAGTCCCTGGGAAGATGATCCCTCAATACGTAAGCTTCAATGGGGATTTTTTTTGGTCTTGGATTAACTTGGATGATGACTTTTCTCTCTACAGCTCCTCCTAGCTATTCAGAAGCCATGCACGTCCAGAAGGATGCAGAGAAGTCCAAGCTAATGCCAGCAGATACAGATCCATCGGGTGGATTGCCCTATAAGCCTTTATACCCTGTTTTCGACTTAACAACTCCAGCAAAGGAGAAGCAGGAAGCTCAGGCAGGATATGTTGAAGAGAAGAAGGAAGACCCCTCAGGATATTTCGAAGAGGATAAGAAGTGAACAAGCAAAACTTTCAAGTGAAGAACTCTGGAAAACTGAAACCCAAAATGATCAAATTCTCCAAAGGAAGACACTTCCAAGGACTGTGTGTTTTGCACCTTTTGAAAGAGGTATCTTTGTATGAGATATATATGAGTATAATTCAAAATTGTGACAGAGATAAGATAAAGAAATGGCCTGGCCATTGCCGTGGTTACCAATATATGATAGAATATAACCCCAGCGCAGTATTTGTTTCATTCTCAGTTTGTTTCTGGCAGCCAACCGGGCGGGTTCACTCGTATCGCTGCTGCTGTTTCCGAGATTTTGCCAAACCAATCTTCTGCGGGGGAGAACCGCACCGCGTACGAGAGCAAATACTGTGGAAAGAACCTGCATAAGTTGGCATTAAAATCAAATCAGTTGTGTAACGTGCTAGCCACAAGGCAATAAACATACAGATACAGCGATACTCGAAACGGGTACCATTATGACTGTAACCTGTGAAATCGAGTTCGATAACAATCCCCATGGCACGTATTTTGGGGGCCAAGTACTGACGGGAAGGGTTACTTTGAAATTGGACAAAGTGAAGTTGGTGAAAGGTATGCCATTTCTTTCAGTTTCACTCATGACTCATGCATTCTTTATCTTTATCTTATCGCTGAATTTTCAAGTGCGGTCTAACATTTTTTACCCCAGAGATCCAAGAGCAAGAGCTATGAATCATTATATGTATTTAGAATGCTGTGGGAGAGGATCGAGCACCACACGTGCAAAATCTATTTCAAATAGAGAGGTGTTCGGTGTTCATATCTGATAAATATTAGCATGCGATAAGATTAATATTATTTTTAAGTAATCAATGATTTCGCATTAAATGGAATTAAGTGTGGGTTTTTACACATTTTTGCAGCCGTCACATTAAATATAAATGGTTATTCGGAGACCCGATGGCGCGAGAGGACAACAGGTAGTACAAGGAGACGCAGGGCACAACACACATTCTATGGTCGGGAGGATTATATAGCATCTAAAACCTTCCTAGTGGGTTCCAACTTGAGCAGTAAGTGATCATAGATCTTTTTGCCGACCGAATGAGCTTTTAATTTTCCTTATTTCCAGGCCAATGCTCCATTGAACCGGGCATACACGTCTACAACTTTGCCTGTCAGATCCCCACAGAGTGTCCCTCCTCCTTTGAGGGCACCCATGGACGCGTTCGCTACATGACGAATGTCACCCTTGTGCGACCCTGGAAGTTCGATCAGAACTATACGCGCTGCTTCACTGTACTCAAAGTGATGGACCTGAACTTTGACAGTCCCCTGCTGAGGGTGCCCGCTCACAGTGAGACCTCGAAGACCTACTGCTGCTGGCCCTGTACCTCGGATCCGCTGGCTCTGCAGCTGACTCTGCCCCAGACAGGCTTTGTGCCCGGACAGAATGTACCCCTGAGCGTGCTGGTGACCAACGACAGTCACATTCCTGTGGAGCAACTGATGGTCACCCTCGTCATGTTGGTCACGTATCACAGCAAGCCCCCATCGATGCCGAACTCCACTTTCGAGAGGTTCACCCTGAGCACCGTCAAGGGGGATCCCGTGTCAAGGAACTGCAAGAAGCTGTTCAACTATGAGCTGAGGGTGCCTGCCACCCCACCAACGTGCTTCAATCTGTGCGGCATCATACAGATTGCCTACCAGGTGGAGGTGGAGGCACAGGTCAAGGGATGCCACACCAACGAGCAGGTCAGCGTTCCGTTGACCATTGGCAGTGTGCCCTTGTCCCAGCACGTTCACATTCAGCCCCGTGGCATGCCACAACAACCACTTGATGTTCAGGGATTGGCCTCCGCTCCGCCAGTAGATCCCGCCAGTCCCTGGGCTGTGGATGATACTATACGTAAGTTATCCACGAAAATAAAATCTTTGATTGGGATTCAATGGCACTTCTTCCCATTTCAGCTCCTCCCAACTATCAGGAGGCCATTCATATGCGATCTGCCGCTTCTACCAGTAAGACAGACGACCCAGACGACGACCTAGAGCCAGTACCACCAAATACTCTCAATCCCGATGGCAGCGTCTACAAGCCGCTCTATCCGGTCTTCGATATACCAAGTCCCACGGTCCCTCCTCCATCCGACTGGACTCAGAACTATATGGCCGAAAGGGCCTTTGTGAATCCAGCTGCGGATACAGACAAGGATAAGGGAACTTGGCTGTGAAAAGCTCACAACAAAAAGAAATAGGAAAGATACTTTGAAGGCATACATATATCAACTATTTTGTATATGAAGCGAACTATGTAAATAAATCGAACATAAATGACGAAAATATTAGTTATTAAAGACGTTAGAAAATGTATGCAAAATGTGGGTTTAATTTTGTTGCAACATCAGCTAAAATTTTACAGATATGGGTTTCGCTGTATGGCCAGAAAAATGATGCCTGCGATTTTTTGCAACGTAACGCCATCAGAAAATATAAAAATGCATGGAAAAGATGTCATAAATATAGAAATATTGTGCTCCATATCATCCTCTGACTAAGTACTAAGTTTTGCACTTGAACATTCCACTCCGTTCACCAGAAGATATGCTTCCACATTTTTCTTAATGCTAAACTCTTATCAAAATCACTTAAACATGAAATATTCTTGAAAAAAAAAATGTCCAGTGCCAAGGCCTAACTTCCCAAAAGCGATAGCAACCAACCCAAACATCCACTTCTCCAGTCGTTTACCCCCACAAAAAAATGCTCACAGTTTGCGTGGTGTTCAAACTCTTATACGATTTCCATTCTCGACGTCCGATGTGAGCACATATTGTTCTAAGAAGTACGGTTCGCGCCTTCGGCTATAGAGCTCTTATCGCTTATCTTACGACGCGGTCGCACCACGACCAAGCACGACCAAGCACGACCACGACCCTGTCCAGAAGCGCATTTAATTTAGTCGTTGCTCCCAGACGAAGTAGCGTGGATCGCGGGAGACCTCAAGTCAAAAATGGTTGTTACGTGTGAGATCAGCTTCGATAATAATAGATTCGGCACTTTCTATGCCGGACAGCTGGTGGGTGGCTGTGCGACTCTCAAGTCCGACAAACCAAAGGAGGTTCAAGGTAGATCAACATAAATCCAAGTTACCTAAAAATACGAGTACGAGTAGTTTACCTAATTGCGAGTTCTTTGCACTGAAGGTGCTTTGGCAGTTGTTTAATTTAAGTTCTGATTAGTAAGAGTATTATAAATATTTCCCCGATAACGATAGGGGTATACATATATGTATGCACTGGCGATATATATATTTTTATGACGACATTGACTTGAGGAATTCTTTTGGTCTGGGGAATGTGTGAAGTTGATTGATAAGACGCCAAACGGAATATATTATAAGATTAGAACGGAAATACCTTTCGTTTTAGTATTAGGCAACTCCCAGATTAATGGAAAGAACTTAAACCATATCTAAAATTTGAATATTAGTTATATAAATAAAGGAAAGAGGTTCGTTCATTAAAAATTGTGTTTATTTTTAGACTTAATTGAGTGCATTGGGGTTTGGTAACAAAGTTAAGATTAAAACTACGTTAATCTCTGTCTCAACAGATTATAAATTAGTTCTCAAGATAAACTCGTATCCCCTCTCTCTCTCATTCTCTCTGTGTAGCTGTCTTGCTCAAGGTAGTCGGCTACTCCATCACCAAATGGAGTGAAAAGAGTCTGGGATCTACTAAGCAGTATGCGGGCAGAGAAGACTATCTATCATACAACACATATCTGGTGGGATCCGAGCAAAGTGAGTCATAAACCAATCAGATCTGGATCAACTTATATCAGTATCTCTTCGGACAGACAACAACAGACACACCATACAGGCTGGGGTGCACAACTATAACTTTTCCTGCCAGCTGCCCTACCAGTGCCCTTCGTCCTTTGAGGGTCGCTATGGCTGCATTCGCTATATAGTCAAAGTATTGCTCATTCGACCCTGGAAATACGATCAGGCCTATGCCACGGGATTCACAGTGCTCAAGATGATGGATCTGAACTTTGAAACGCCACAGCTTCGGGTAAGTCATGATGATTGTGACGGGGAAATTCATTTTCTCCTGCCCCTTCCCCAGTTGGCGGCACACAGCGAGGGGTATCGCACCTTCTGCTGTGGTCCCTGCAAGACGGATCCCTTGAAGCTGGAGCTGAATCTGCCCCAGGCGGGATATGTGCCTGGGCAGAAGATCCCCGTCACCGTTGTGGTGGTGAACAACAGCAGTGTGGCCGTCTCCGAGCTCCGGCTCTCCCTGGTGATGCTCGTCCGCTACTTCAGCCTCAGTCCGGACCACGCACGCGTCGAACGCATTATCATCTCCAGAGCGAAAGGAGATGCCGTGCTGAAACAGTGCACCCGCTCCCTGACCATTGGCCTGCCCGTACCCTCCACGCCTCCCACCTGTGTGGAGCTAAGCAATCTCATCCAGATTGCCTACCAGGTGGAGGTGGAGGCGTTGGTCAAGAGCCTCCGCGAGGAGCAGCTGATGATCATGCCCGTGACGATTGGCACCATGCCTCTGGCCGTATCGGGGATTGTTGTCCAGCAGCCAATACGTCGAAGTGCTCGCTATGACGGTCCTGCAGACGAGTTGCCTGTGGTCACGGCCCTGGGGAGTGTGCCCAACGATTTGATACCCAGTCAAGGGGATATATGTAAGTTGAAAACACTTTTAATAATTGCTGTACTTATATTCGTATATGCCGTATAGACGCTCCCAAATATGAGGAGTCCCGTCACACGCCCCGCGGAAATATCAATGAGGAGGAGATCCATGCGTTTGGCATCAACGAATTTGCACCCCTTTATCCCGTTTACAGCATACCAAGTCCCCCGCCAAATTTCCCAGCGAATGCGACCAATGCAGGTTTCGTCAATCAGAGTTTTGAAAAGTAACAGCTTGCACTGCAGTGAACTGCTTGCTGCTGTTAAGCTCCACTGCTTTCGGCTGTTAAGTTCCCACTGGTACGCTTAAGCTTATACTGTTATTGATGTTATACATAGCTGTTTTATGGGGGTGTATAATGTAGCACAGCACAAATTAAGTGTTTCGTATGACAAAAGTTATAGGGGTTGAAAAAGTTATAGAAAAGTTTATGGAATTTGTTTCGTTAAGACTGTTCTATTTGTCATACAAGAAGCTATAACGTTTATAATTGTTATATTTATGGTATCTGTAGATTTTTATTTTGATATAATAAAGTACTCTGGCATACGAAAAGTTACAGCAGATTTATATTTTAAATTTTGTCCCAAAAGTCTCTGTACAAAATGAACTGCTTTGTTTAACAGAATACAGCAGTTTGCAACAGGAACATTTTCTTGCATCGTGAAAAAGTCAGTTTTAAAATCAGATAGTAACCTTTCAAAAGTTTGAAAAGTTCAGGGACAATACAATTCATGATTATATTGCCACCCCTACCTACACTTATTGTGTGTTAGTGGGAATGCTTAAATTTAGCCCCAGGCACGCCCAAAAAGCCATCAACCATCAACCGGGGACAATAACAATATTCCGGACAACGAGAAATAAAGGACCCACACGGAGAGCCACGGCACGGACATGTTTAGTTTTTATCATTCGCGCATTTGTTAGCAGACCCGTACTTACCGTGGTCTCATCCCATCCCATCCCATCCCGCCACCCCTCTCCGCCCAACCGACCACCCACTAAACTCCCTGTGTTCCCCGTTTGCCCCACATGCGACTGAACTTTGCAGTTGGTAATCTGTTTGAATGCTCCCTCTCGTAACCTCTCATTTGTGAGCTGCTGGTAGCTCCAAGCCTCTTCTTTTCCTCCTCCGCTAAAAGTGTGCATTACCGCCTGAAGTGTAAGCGGATTTAGTGCAATTGACACTTGGGCATTAAATATTGGAAACAGTTTTGCTCACATATTAATCAGCTTTCCTCAAGCTGCGAGTATTATATAAGCACACGCTTTCAGCCACTCATTAGCCGGAGGTTAACGTTAACTGCAGCCTCGCAGGGATGGCAGACACTCCAGCGGGGCGCCTGGTACTCGAGGTATGCGTGTTTTGGCCACGTTACCAGGTTGTAGTGGCAGTCAAATCGAGTTAAGCGAATGCGCTGAACACTAATGGCGGCATTAAGTAATTTCCAGCGCGCCGAATGCCCCACGGAGGAGGACCCCACGGCTCCTCGGTCGGTCCTCCGGTCTGTCGGCCCTCTTGCATTTAAATGGCTTACTCAATGGCATTTTCGTGGTAATTGGCATTTGGCTTTGGCATGTCCGAGTGCCAAACTCTGGACTAAGCTAAATGCATAACCAGTGTGCGGGATTCTGATGCTGTTGCTGTTGGTGTATTTTCTCATTCGTTTGCTTGTTTTTCGGTTTGTGTGTGGAGACTGGAAAAACAGAAAAAGCAAATTAGTCGAGATTATGCCCCAAGGCGGCAAAAGGAATAGAACAACATGCAGTATCGTTAGAGGGAATGTTTTTAAATATAAATAACAATTTTAAGGGCTCCTGCACACGAGAAATTTGTGCGTTTTTGCGATGAACAAGTCCCCCGGCACTGTTCAGACTTTTCTAATTTAATTTATTTCGAATGTCAGTGTAAAAGCCACTTATTCATGTGTCAAGTGCCAGCAATTGATTCTGCCGCTCGTCTGAGCTGATTTCGCCGATTTAGCCGCATCTAATGGATTATAGATACTTTCGCTTTACGTGCCATATAGCCATACAGCCATATAGCCATGTAGCCTTATAGATAGACATGTTTCGGGAACAATTTGCTGGCCAAGTCTGGCGCCTCTCTCAGGGGTTTTATAGCAACGACACAAAAAAGCGAAACAAAATTAGCATTTTTTGTGTCTTGTTTTTTTTTTGGATATTCGATTGGGGTTCGTTTGGGGTTTGGCTACATCTTTTTTCCGCTGGCTTCCGTTTCCTGTTGGCTGGGTTTTTGTTTCGTGTTTCGTGTTTTTTGTTTATCCCAATGCTTTGCACCTTTGCGCCATGCCGCAGAGGGCACACATACGAGTGAGCGAGCTCCACAGTTTGTTCCTTTACTTAGCTCGGGATCTGTGTGGCTCTGTGTGCTGCGGCTTTCACGGGTATTTCACTGCTCGGTGCGCAGCATCATCCAACCATCCGCAGCATCCTACCACCCCCATATCCTGCCTGCTGTAGGTTCTTGCTGCCACTCCACAATCCTCCACAATACTGTATTCTTGTACTTCTTGCTGTTGCTGCATTGATTGTGGTGGCACCAGCCACACTCACACACACACACACACACACACACACTGCTCTGCACAACAATCGCAAGTGAATTTCACTCAAACAAACGAATTTCAGCGGCTTTGATGGCAGCAATCTTGCGGAGGTCCTGGCATCGACATCGACATCGACATCGGAATCGACAATAGTGGGTTTGTGTTTCTGTTTGTGTTTTGACTCGAGCCATAAAGATGATTGGGCACTTGTGATTAGTGCCCCTCCGCCTGAAAAGAAAACCAATTTTGTTGAACAACTTTATGGGATAGGCCCTTGCCTTTAAGAAAACCCACTCCTTTGCTGCTTTTCTTCGAGTGAACTATATCATAAAATTCAGCAAGGCCTCAGCCTCATTATAGCTTCATTAACACTATGGTTTTCCCAGCTACCAGTCTCTCTCTCTCTCATTCTCTGCTGCCGTGTCTCTTATAAACCAGAAAAGTTGTGCCCAACTTTTTGCTAATGGCAGAAACTCGTCACGCACTCCCACCCGAAAACTAAAAACTTTATTGTCACTTGTTACCAAAACAGAAGGAAAACACACACAGCACACAAATCTGAAAAAAGAGAAAAGAAAAATGAACAGAAGAGAGTGGAAAAACTAGATGAAAGCCCCCATACGAAAATGGCAATTGACAAGATTTAAGCCGTTGCTCTGACTGAAGTTTTCTCTTTCTGTACGTCGACGACAGTCTAAGCTACTTTTCCAGAGCCACAAAGCAGAGGAGCGCATGAGATGAGGATGCGGAGACAGCCGGCAAAGTTTTTCTCTCCTTCCGAGACTATCCTTCCGAAAATGCAGTGTGCAATGAGGGTTCAGTTCTTCTATTCAATTGACTGCAGGTGCTCGCACACTCGTCGGGGAGCGTGGAGTGCTGTGTCAGAAAGTTGGTTAGCCAAAGTCAATGACTGGCGCAAAATCAAATCTTCTTATCCCCTCCGCCCACGCCCCCACCACCGCTGCTGGTCCAAAACCCCTTTGGATGAGTGGCTGCTGGTGGTAAAGCTGCTGCTCTTCGGTGTCGTGAGCCCTGGGTTGTTGCTCGGCAAATTTCATAAATCAAAATGCCTTCAGGAGGAGGTGCGTGTCGATGGATTCCCGGATTCCATGCACGCCACTGTAATTGCTTTATGCTCTGGAGCGTGATGCGGTCAACATCGCAACGTGAGCATGGCATTTCGGACAGGGTCCAGATTCGCAGCTATCTTTCTCTCTCTCTGTACCCTGTACTCTGTGCCCTTCCCTTTTCCCTCTTTTCGTCCTTTTCGTCCATTTAGTGAATTGGAAAAGTTGAAAAGTTTTATGATATTCTCTTAGTTTTTGTATTTTTTTATGTTTTGGTGTATAGTTAGCCAGCTACTCGATGCGTTGTTGCTTGAGGACATGGCAGCCACAGCCGGAGTGAAATTCCAGACGGCAGTAAACATTTTTGGAGGAGTAAAGGCACCGAAGTTCCACCGAAAATGCCATGTCCCGTGATGGTCAGGAGCCAGAAGTGTTGTTGTTTGGCCAACAATTTCCAACAGACACAAAATGGTGCGCTGACAAAGCAACAGCCGAAGGGTGGTCATCAAAGCAAAGGAGAAAGGTAAACTCTTTTGGCATAACTTTAAAAATTGCATGGGGAGCCTCCAATAAATTATGTCAGTCCTCAGGCTGTTGCTCCACGTTCGGGCTCCACGGGGCGGTAAACAAGAAAAATATGTATATTTTGATGATAAAAATGAAGATTGCTAGTCATCAAGCGAAACACCTCAGCTCTCTGGCTGAAAGTGGGAGGGGCGGGAGTGCATTGCACTCGGATGTCAAAGCTAATAAGCAGCTCCTTCCCCGGGGGTTGAGTGGGGGAAGCTCTTCATGTGTACCCCCACTGTCCCGCTGCTTCCACTTTTCTGTTTCGTGGCAGATTTATGGGTAAATATAAAGCAAAAGGTGATGACATGACGCTCTGAGGCAATGCAGGTGGCAAAAAGTTTAGTGCCCACATCCAAGAGTATATGTGGCACTCCTTTCCTGTGCTCCTGTGCTCCCGAGCTTCTCGGACCCTCTGTGTCTGTGTGTATCCGTGCCAAAGGTAAAGCCATTCTGCAGCTGTGTGAGTAATGCAGAGAACAACACAGAAAGCGCTGCATACTTTGCGGCTGTGCGCACTAATTAATGAACGACTTTGGGCTATACTTGCACTACCTTTTCTCTGCCAGTGTCAATGCATAAAGAAATTTTGCTAATTAAAAATAATAGCACTTGCAATAGCAATAGCAATGGCAATAGCAAAAAGGCTGCACAAACTTTGTCTCTGCTCATCCCGATTCCCCTGTGCAATGCCATTTCTTGTGATTATTTTAACAACTTGGCCATGTTGCAGGCGACCAAAGGACCGAGCGACGGACCGACCGACGGACCGACCGACCATTCGCTGAAAACTCACAGCTTCACACAGCCATTGTCGGCGAAGAAGTCGTACAAATTGCTCGCGGGCTGCAAGTAATTGTCTCTGGCTCGTTGGCTCGGGACTTGGATTTGGATTTGGATTTGGATTTGGATTTGGATTTGGGACTCGCATAGAAGGCCGCTTTCTGGCTGGCTTTCTGTGAGGCGGTGGTGGTGGGCCCTCAACATCATTAAATGTGTATATAATGGAATTGCTGTGATTTGTTTCGAGCGGAAGATTTATTATCGCTTTGCCATTTTCCAGGCGAAAAAATCGGCTTTATGTTCCGCTTCCCTGGTGACAGAGTGCAACCAGACGATGCGATGGGTCTTTCTGCCACTCTGGCACCACTCTCTCTGACACAATCAGAGTCGTTTACATAAACACTTTTCTGAAATTTATTGCTCCTCGCTCTTTTCTGTGTGTGTGTGGGTGTGTGGTATGTCTATGTCAATGGCAAAAGTTTATGCATTTAATTTGTGCAAAATTTGCTTACAACTCAAATTGAATTAACCTGATGACTCAGTGGAATGTACGAGGCCTTGTGTTCCTTCGAATGATTTCGCCACGAAACGGGCCAACTTTTATATCCTAGAATCTCTGCAGATGCTTTGTTGAGTAGTAAATCCCCATGGGAATAGCCTGCATTTTGTGTGTGTGTGTGTTTAGTTCAACTTGAACTTTTTCCCTCTCGCAATATGTAAACTCATTTGCATTCAAAGTTTTGCCCCCTTTCACAAGTTGTGCAGGGGGCACATGTGTTTCCGAACAGAACACTATTAGGTCTTCATCAAATTAAAATATGTTCGCCCTGACGTGAATAATGGCTACGAGAGAGAGAGATAGAGAGAGAGCTACGAAATTAATTGCCTGCGAAACTGTACACAAATGCCATCTCCATTCTATTCTTCTACTCGAGAAGGTGTGTAATTTTCTAGTTAACAAATAAATTAAAACTTGACTTGACCATGGACTATGGACCCAGCCAGATCCAAAAATGTCCCCAAAATGTCCTCTCAACTGCTCAACTGTTGAGTTGTTCAAACATTTGTCCAGCTGTGGGCGTATGTTTGACACAGATCATATGAGGATTTGTGTGGGGCTTAGGCGACACTGGAGTCGAGGGCTTAGCATGCATTTGTGTGACAAAATGAAATATCTCTGGCATAAGTGAAATTGTTTTACTTTGCCATTGAAAAACAAATTTGCCATTCTACATACAGACACATATTTTATTAATATTCAGCCGGAGTGGAGAGTAAACTTAATACCTTAATGGATTTCAAAGCATTCTGGCCCGCACTCTGCAGGTTAAACAATCTCTTTTTTCCCGCATAACTTCGGTCTCGGACAATTGGCAGAAATGTGTTTAATTACACTTGTAATCCCCTAGAATATTTCATTTAATCATTGATTATCCGCAGCTTTTTATATTGTTTGACGAACATTGCACTAAGTGCACTTTAAAATCGCCAGCGATAGACTCTGGTCTGGTTTAAGGTTGCACGAAAAACTGTGATTTATTTTTGTTAATTATTTAGGTTGAATTTCCACCCACTCCTCTGGGGGGCTTGCCAATCGTTTTGGCCTGCGGTGTGTCATCAAATTTGATCGGAATCCCAGTCCGCCCCCACCACCTTTTTGGCCAATTGAGTTTGCACTTAATACCTTTTACGTGTCCGGCCTGCTAATTAATGTCCATCGGCACATCGGACTGGGCCGGCCTGGTGTGGACTGTAATAAATTGGATTTTCTGTTCACATTTTAGTCAGTATTTTCTCTAGGGAGCTGCTGGCCCAAAGCCAGGAGAATTTAAAGGGAATTCAGGTGCTGCTGCCACTGCCACTGCCACTGCCACTGCCCGGCTTTAATAATTTGTATTCGTGATCAAACTTTGGCCACTCGTTCGCTGGCATTCTCCAGAGTAAGTGCCTGGCCCTCTGCTCATAAATAGTTCATTGCATTTCCATTAGCCTGCTCTTCCAGCTCTGTTCGTTGACCTAATGTGTGCAATTCATTATGTGCAATTAGAGTTCAATTCAGATGGCCCATCGGCTGGCCAAAGTTCAAGGCCCGTCTAGGAGCGGCATCTTGAGACCATAACACATCGTTAATGGGGTGTATGGCGGTATGGCGGTATGTGGCGGAGTCAAAGAAAGTGTAACAATAATGGGCTCGTTTGTTTTCATTGCACACGTGCCCAGGCATCTGGTGGGGCTTTCGGTTAATAGACTCAACATTTGCGGCCATGTTTTTGCTGGGCAAACATTTGGCATGGAGTGGTGTGGTGTGGAGTGGAGTGGAGTCCTGTGCCTCTCAATGAGCCACTTTTGTGGTCGGGCTCTCTGATGGCTCTGTTCTGTTCTGTACAGTGTACTGTGCTCTGCTCCATCATATTGCCCGCAAAATGAAATTAAACGCGTGAATACATATTTAATGGGGCAAAAATGTGTGGAATGATTTTGACGTTGATTTTTTTTCCCTGCCCTCCCCTGGCCTCCCCTGCCCTGCCCTGCCGTTAATTGTGTGCAATATTTGCATTTTTTACGTACAGAACGTACGGCATGGCCTCCAGCGGATGCCTGATTGTTGAAATTAAAAATTAATGCATGATTTTTGAAATGCCGATGTGGATGGCTCTGCAAATAAAGAGCCCACACGTTGCAGGCTGCAGCACTTTCAATTCCAGATCTCTGCGGGTAAATCATGGACGGAATTTCGTTGCGTCTTTTTGTTTTTGTTGTCTACCAATAAATATTATTAATTAACATCCACTGCTTAAAGGCAGCCGCCAATGATGAGGACTATGATACTCGTATTGGTTTAAGTGTTTTTTAATCAAACAATCAATGAGAAGTGTGCCTGGGAGAGTATCTCAGGGCGCCGGCACAAAGTTGTTTAACCTTTTATTAACACAGTAAAACATACGGGAAAATTGCCAGTATGTCGTTTGACGAATTCGATCGTAGGGCCTCCCAGCGCGACAGCCTGAAGTCAACCAAGTCGTTGGCCTCTATCCTGCGAGGACACACAATACCAGTGAGACGAGGAACCCACGTGTCTCCGGCCCGTGTCTCCGGCTTGAAAGCGGAGGTCGCGGAGTCGCTCACCAAATCCATGTCCACTATATTCAGGCAGAGCACTATGAATATGCGGTATGCGGACACCACTCTTCTGGACCTCGAAGATTGGGTGCTGCATCCAAGAAAATTCGACGACGATGTGGATGTCAGTCAACACCCCAGCTACAATATTATGTCGTTCTCCTAGTAAGTTCTACAACTAATCCACATGATGTGTCCTATATGTCCATTCCCAACAGCGATCTGAATTGCTATGTGAGGTATTTGGAGGCCAAGGAAAAGTACGACAAGCATTTCCACGATGAAATGCAGTACTTCATAGACACTCAAGACAGGGCCATCAATCAGTTTGTCCTGAGGCGGTAGGTAAACATCCACAATCCCGAGAAGCACCTTCTATAGATTGATTTTCCCTTTCAGCATCTTGTGCTACAATAGTCGTTGGCCGCCACTGCACTCAAAACGGGAAATAAACCGATTCGTTACAAAGTTCTTTCAGCTGACACCCAAGCAAAAGGATCGTCTGCACTATCTCATGAAAACCGATCTGAGTGCGGGATCGTAGACCCTCAAGAGAGCAGCGACAGAGCGACAGAGAAAGCGTTGATAAAATTACAAATGCAATTGTGCTGATTATTCCAAATGAAAATTGTTTAATTAGCACATTTGTATTCGCAATTATGTTAAGCAATTTCCAGATAATTAGTCTTTGAAAAAAATCCCCCCACAAACAATAAATTTAATTCTCATTGAATATGCTGCATTTAATTTTGTTTTTTAAATGGCTTGTTGAGATTTCGATACGAGAAAAAAAAGCTAAGAGTCAAATCATTTCAGATAATTAAAATTGGTAAACTGTTTCATTTATGCTTTAAGTTAATTACATTATACTCCAATGTGTGAAGCTTATGTCGGGAACTGAAAGGTGAATTCCTTGGCATTTGATATGCTACAGAATTGTTTACACATTCGAAGCAAAGAGAGGACTACTTTTGCCCCTAAGGATCTAAATTACTATATAGATCCATTGAAAAGTTTCAGTTCTTTAAAAGTTTTCTTTCTGAAAGCCTCTGGTGTTTAAAGTGTCACAGCTTTTCCGGGTCTAATTTGATTAAATTTAATATCAAAACTATCTCCCGTTGAAGTTGTTTGCATTCAACAAATGTAATTTAAGTAAACTTTCATCCATTTGTGCACGTTAAATATTTGATTTGCATTCATAAATAAATTCAATGAATTCCTGCAATAAATGGATTATTTTATTGTTGAATTGTGTGTGTAACAATGTGCGAAATTGTATGTGAGTGTGCGAGTGTTTTCCCAGTTGCTCGACCTTTCTTTTTTGTCGTGCGTTTCCGATAAGCGACAAATGTTATGCCGTTGCAGTTGTATTCGCATTCGTAGTCGTGTGTGTGTGTGTGTGTGTGTGTGTGTGTGTGTATTGCTGACAGGAAGTACGTCATTTGTCAAATACTACTTTATGGGCAGTTTTTTTGCTGTTGCCGGCTCTCCAGCTGGGCAAAGTGGAGTTTTGTTTGCGCTGCGTAAACACCTGAAAAAGGTCAACTTTATAAATGTTTGCACAACAAAATAATGGACAAAAGGCAGAGCGAAATCCTGTGTAAATGTTGCACTTTAATTTGGTTTTTGCCCCAAGGCCCCAGAATTCTCCATTGGAAATTCATCAATTAGCTTTACAATTTATTGTTTTGCTCAGCAAACAATGTGATGAATAATTGCTGAACAGAGTTCAAAGTGCATTTAAATATTTTACTAAATACTTTAGCATAGCTTAAAGTATTTAAAATCCCATTTGAAACTGTTCTAAGCCTTTTCGGCTTTGGCTTCGGCTCGGGGCAGGTGAAAAGTTTCACACAATTAGTCCAGCAGCCAGAGTGGGGTTTTAGCATCACAAAAGAAAATATTCCGCCCCAATTCGTGCAATGAAACAAAAACCTTTGTATATCTTTTTTTGTAGTCATTCTTTGACACTTTGAAAGTCCCATAGAAAATGATTCATGCTTCAGTGGTCAGGGGATAGCACGGCACCGGAAACTTCAACTGCAAACAGACCCCCACCCCCCGCGACAAGCCATTTCCAGCAGTCAGCTTCAATTAAGGCTCAAGTTCCACCAATTTTAAAGTCCACTTCGGGTGAAAAAATAATATCACAGTAGGTGGTCTGGCATCCGCAGCTTTGAGCTATAAATTATAATTTCCGCATGCTGAGCCAAGCTCTCTCCCACACCGCACCGCACCACACCCCACCACACACCTCTTTGCAGACCACCATCATCATCCCATCGGTACATCGGTCCATCGTCCGGTCGGTCATTCTCCGGTTTTATGACGCTTATGGAAAAAAATTCCTTGCTGCTGCATGGCTGCAAGGTGTGCGCCAATTTCCGGAATATGTGAAAGTGTCTGTGTTCGTGCCGGTGTCGGCTTCGGTCTGCGTACTTTTATACATAATTTTTTGTAAAAAAAGTTTGGCCCCTGCCCGGTACTCTGTGTTCGTATTCGTGTCGGTGGCACCGACGGTGGGTTCTCTGGCCGGACTCATGCATACATATGTTGCCAGAAGAGCCCCTGGCAGGAAAAATATAATTAATTGCGCTTGAAAAGTGTACAAGAAAAAACTAATGCCTGCATAGTTTTAAAGCAGGTTAAACCACAAACTGGAATTACCTGGAAAGTGGCTAATATCTCTCATACGCAGTGCATGTCCCAGCAAGGGGCCAGTAACGCCAATTAGGACACAAATTCCTTCCAAGAATAGTTTATGTAACTCATACGCTGCTCTGCACAGGAAACTAGTAGCTCAGATCACTCATACGCACTGTTGCCCCTACAAAAATATACCAGAACAGTGAGTGCAGCACCATATATACCATTAAAATTTATGTACAGCATATCATTCTCAAAACCCATCTCAAAGTTTCACCTTTCCAACAACACCTTCGATTTTTTATGCGTCACAGCCAATTTCCCAGCCACTCATAAAAGCTGACTGATTCCTCAGGATACGCCTGCTGCTCCTTCTGCTCTTGCCTTTCCCCATTGGTGTAATGAATGTTGTTTGTTTGCCTTACATAATATTTAACAACAAGTGCGGAGTAGCAATCCTGAGCAATCATTGCCTGGTAGCTCGTTTGTTATACAATCCTTGAGTGGGGTATTTGCCCTGCCAGCAGAAGTTTGCTTTTGAGAAGGCAAACTCGTATCGGAAGCAGTCATGCGAGAGAGTTGAATGATATTTCAATTTGTGCAGATACTTTTGGGGGTGCAAATATACGAGTAAAAATCCGGGGTTTCCTTAAATGGAGAGAACAATTTCAAAGAACTGGAAATTGTTTTGCCTTCGAAAAGTGGTGGGTAGGGAAAGTTATTACTCATGTTAATGGCGGATTCTGCTTTCATAAATATGCGAATTTTATGTTTATTTAACAGTATTATTTGTACGAGTATTGCCTTATTTCAAAGATCATTCCCCAATCAATATCAGTCCGAAATTCCATACGTAAGTGTATCCAACAAACTTCCTGTATTCCTCCACAGATTTCCGTAGTCTATAATTTTTATCATCAACATTCTTTGCTTTACACTTACACACACACGCAACGTTTCTTATGTGTTTGCACGCCGCTGTGCTTCCTGTGGTGCTGGCTGTGGTCCGTGGTCCTGCGTCCTGGTCCTGCCCCACTGGTCGTAACTTCCGCTCAGGACGCACACCACTTGAGTTTTGTGTGGCATTGCAAAATGCATTTTATATGCAATAAAAATACACTTACGGCATTTTTTACAACTCGCTCGCTTTGACTTCTCTCCCGCTCCCTCTGCCACTGCCACTCTCACTCTCACTCGCACTCCCACTTGCTGGGCGATTCCATTTCTTTTGGCGCCGTTTTTCTACTATAATATTTCCTACTTACAAAATAAAAACGAAAAAGTCAGTCCGGTTCGGGGTCTGCCAGTGGCTTGTTTGTGTTCAGTTCTCCGGTTCTGCAGCTCCTTTCGAACCGTTTCGTTTCGTTTCGTTTCTGCGCTGTCCTGCTCGGTTGTGTTCGCTGTTGGTTAGGGAAATTTAATGAGCTACTTAATGTTGTTGTTGCGACTCCTCAGAGCTGCAATTTGGCCTGCTTTATTTCAGCTTGTGTGTGGGTGGGATTTGTGCACTCCTCTCAGTTTACGATTTTAACAAGTTGGTTGTTAAATAAATTTAAATTATACAAGTGTTGTCGCTCCCCTTACACGCCGTTTACTGCGGCTCGATGGTCATTCCTTTGCCTTACCCTCACTCGCCCTCATCCTCATTTTCACTTTCACTTTCACTCTCTCCCCTGGTAGTGTGTGCGCTACAAGTTTATTAATATTTTCCCCTGCCAGCAAACACTTAATCATCTGAATGGGTCGCCTGGCTTGAGTGCATGATTCCTGTAAAATATCGACAAAAGAAAGGCACGACCGGAAAAACGACGACTAAAAATACACGCAAATAAATGGCCTCATCATCGCATTTACCTTTGAGCCATTTTTCAAGTCAAAATGATTCGAAACTTTTCATTTGAGTAAAGGGGCTGCCCTGTAAGGATAATGGAAAGCGCTTGGTGTTGCACGAAAACTTTCCCCTGAAGAGCATGAAATTTGAATCAAATATTTCGCCATTCAAAAACTTGAAACTTTTCATCAGCTAAATCTACAGGAATACAAAATAAACAGGAGGGAAAGAAAATTGAATTTTCCACCAGCAAATACGCAGATAGAAGCACTCTGGGAACCTTTCCCCTATCAATTTTTCGACTGCTGTATTACGATTATTGCCCTTTATTTGTTGAGATTTTCTGAAACTCCAATGATTTTTGCTAAATTAATTGTGTCATCTATTTGGTGCGCAACCGAATAAACATTATGGAATATTCGTACATACATACATATGTATGTACACACAATCAGCGGCTGTAAAAATCAACTGTTCTGCTGCTGCGAGTGTGAGAGCGTGTGTGTGTGTGTTCTGTGCACACTCGATTGGCAATGCACAAAATGCAAAATTTCGAATGCAAATTCGAAATTCAAAATGGCAATGCTAAGTAAATAACGTCATTGCGAAAAGCGGCACAAACGGCAAAATGGCAAACGGCAACTGATGATGTGCCGTACTCTGCATCAGTAGCGGTAACAATCAGCCAGCCAACCAGGCCAAAATTGCATTACTCTGCCCTCCATGACCTCCCTGTGTTTGTGTGTCGTCGCTCTCCGTTTTCTGCTCCTTTCTGCTCTGCTAAAGCGGTAATCAAATGCACACACATTTTCCTTGTACACTACTGAACAAATAAACGGAGAGTTCTTTAAATTCGAAAAGTACCTTGTCCTTTTTATTATAAATGCATTTATTCAAAAATGCAGCAGCAGCAGCAGGAGCTCCCACCTCATCCGTAGAGATTTCCTCAATGCAAAAACGAGTGGTGGGGGTGGGGGGGGGGGTCAGCACGAAAATTGCTGCAAAATCGACTTTGGCATTTGTGACGGGTCCCGGCGATGAGTGTGTATTCAGGCCAAAGTCATAAATTGCACAGAAATTGGGGGAATGGAACGGGAATGGTTTCGGGGGATGCCTTCAAATCAGAATCGGGGTAGCGTTTTCGAGTTTCGTTTCAGCTTCGGTTGCGGGATTTTTGGTGGCACTGGCACTGGCAGTGGCAGTTTTGCTATGCATGTTAAATGAAATTATTGCAACTTTTTTTGCCGACCAAACCCCCACATGGCGTATGCGTAACGTTTACTCAATTCATCAATCACCGAATTTCTCTCCCATTTCTCGTACTATGTATATTTTTGCCCAAAATGGATTAGATTTATGCGACAGTTGCCGCAGCAGCAGCAGCCCCCAAAATGCGGCGATATACTCGTACATATATGTATGTATAGGTGTATAGGTACGAATATTTTTTTCCATGTGTGCAACAACTTGCTGTTTTGTTTAAATATTCTCTTCGAGTGCTTTCTTTTGGAACCCAACAATTCTTTTTGCCACTTAAGTTTAAATTTTGTTTTCTCTATTTAATGGAGGAGTGGAAAGAGGTTTATACGTCGGTATCCCAGTGGCAAATCGTCGGCATTTAATCCAATTTTGTGTGCTGCTGCTGCCCCTGCAGTGCTGCCTGGCACTGTGGAAACTTTTGAAAGATTATATTTGAGTTTGCTAAATAAGAGTTCGTTCTCTTTTGTGCATACAATGTGGCTGAACATAACCGGATGTATATATGGTTGTTAAAACGAGATTGAGTATACCATTCATCTGGAGAGAGAGAGAGAGAGAGAGAGAGAGAGCGAGAGAGGGAATTCAAGCAAAATATGAATTGTATGCAATTTATTTCTTTTGGCTTTTGACCTTCCCACTTTCCCATGGTACATGTATTTGCCGAGATCGTTAGCGCTGCTGGCTATTTTAAATGCTGGCAACACAACTCAATTAAGCCTGTAACTGAGTGGAGGAGAAATGGTGGCACACCTGTACCTTTCTACCTACCAGAAATTTGCATCGGTTTAGAGTCCTGGGCCCTGGACTCCGGCGCCAATCGACGGGGCAGTCAGTGGGGTGCAGAACACCACACCTGTCTGCCCTGTCTGGCAGTTGGACAAGTCGTTTTGCCACTCCATTGCAACCGTTTTCTCTGTGTTGGTGTTGCCAATCCCCTCCTCCATCGCTCTCTCTCTCTCTCTCTCTCTCTCTCTCTCTCCGATGCCCTCTGTGTGCGTGTTAATTACATTTGGCTGGCATTTTGGGCAAAAGTTCGGAACATCCCCCGACCCCCCTCAAAATTGAATTACAACTTTTTCGGTTGCATTTTGCCAAAGTGTTTTTTGTATTCATTTGCCGCATTTATCCTCAAACACACACATGACCAGAGAGTAGTTGGTGTAACTTTTCTTTTTTCTGGCCAAAAGTTGAACCAAGTTTCTGGCAAAAGATAAGTCAAACAAAAAAAAAAAAACGGAGCAGAGCTTATAGCTGCAGTTTGTCATTAGAATTTAGTATTTACTTAAACATTAAATTAGATTTTAAGCGAGGAAAAGGGGTCTAGAGAGCTTGTGAGGGCCTCGGTCAAATGCAACCCAAGCCACAAAGGATTCTTTAAACCTTTTGTCTCTCTGCTGTAGGATCCTGCAGGCATCATTAACCTTTCTGCGGACACACACATAATGAGGGGCCCCGGCTATTGTCTACTTCGCTCCGCTCCGCCCTAAAATGCAATCAGCCTGAAAACAAGATTGAAAAAGGGTGGAGAGGAGTGGCGAAAGGATTCTTGCATAATAGAAATTCATTGCCAAATTACATAGAAAATCGTTGAGGGTGCTAAGAAGGTGCTGGCGGGCAAGTTGGCAGCACCAGAATCTCGCAAGTTATTCACCAAGGCACTCCACTCCACTCGGCACTCCATTGCCTTGCTTTCGAGCGAGAACAACGATTTTAATTACCGCAAACTGCGCGGCTGTAAGCGCATTACGTATACGCAGCGTTGCAGGAGCAGCAGCTGATAAAATCGCATTGAATGCAAGTTAATTAAAAGACGCCACGCGCAATGGCCAAAAAAGAACTCGACTCGCCTCGCCACGACTTGACTTTAATTAAAACTTAATTTAAACAAAAGATACACAATCCTCGCACCAGAATACTCCTCAAGGCCGAAGTGTGCTCTCGATCCAATCCATGTAGTCCCTCACAGAAGTGTAAACGCCCGGCCAGCCCTCGAGACCACAGCGATTGCCAAAGGAGACCACGCCCTCCTGGAACCAGGCCTGCTCGAAGCCCCTTCGCATCAGCGGACCCCCGGAGTCGCCATCACAGCTGTCGCGGTAGAACTCCCCGCCGGCACAGAGCTGAGCGCCGATCAGATTGATCTGCCGCGTGGCAAACTTCCGGACACAGGACTCGTGATCGTTAACGGGCAGAGAGAGCCTCTGCTTGATGTTGCTCTTGCGTGCTGGAAGATTCAGCGATTCTATTACAGTAAAAACTCTCCTTGAACGCTTTCATCGGACGTACCTGTGGTTGTTCTTCCCCAACCGCTGACCACCAGCTGTTCTCCCACGTTGATCGCCTGGCGGGTTGTGGCCAGTGGCAGACACACCGGCTGAATGTACTCGTTGAGTGTCACAGGCTCCGCCAGACGCAGCAGGGCAATGTCATGGTAGCGATGACGACTCGTGGCATCGTATTCCGGATGGACAATAGTCTGCTCAATGGAGCGCTCTATGTAGGGGGGATTGCAATCACCGGCTATACAATCGATATCCTTGCTAGTGTCGTACTCGCCCAGGCGTACAGAAGTTCTGGAAGGTTAAAGAAAAGAGATTGATTAGGGGCTTGAGAAGAAAAGATGGAGCTACTTACAATTGTCCGACTTGTGTGGCCACTTCCCCTGTGACACAATGTGCAGCCGTCAGGACATAACGATTGTTGATCAGACTTCCACCGCAACTTAGCTGTCGCTGACCTTTGCCTGAAAGAGAGAGACAATCAGGCCTCTGTTCCTTATGGATATGTCAATCACAACTCACGATCCACATACTCCAAGAGAGCCATCCAGGTGAACTCATCCAAAGCGGTGTCATTGCCATTGTAGACCTTATCGCTGAACGAGTGAGGACCACACTTTGGAGGCACCGGCAGTAGATTACCCGGCCCCTGTTGGCCACCAAACACCGTGGGCCTACTGCTGACAATCACCGATCGCTGAGTGGTTGTGTCTGCAGCCCCGTATCCCCTATCGTTGGTGCAACAGACATGTGGCTGGCGACCAATGCCATTGTAGCACTGGGAGTTGACCAGGAAAGAGCGATCGTCACTGCTCACAGAGCTCTGCTGGACGACACTTAGCAGAGTCGGACAGTCATAGAGCGATACACAGTAGCCTTGCCGCTGGTTGGGATTTCTACAGCCTGGAAGTGGGAATAATATCACATTGTAATGCAAGTGCACACGGATTGATTTACATGACAACTTGTTTGGCATCGAAACTAGTTTGTTGTCGCGCTGTTGATTTGCCTGAGAAGTCATTGCCATTCTACAAATTAATTACTCCAGCAAGAATTTAATTGATAACAGAAACCGCTTCATTGACGTGCACATAAAAATTTAATGTGCGATTATACTTTTTTGTAGGTTCAAGAAAGTAATTTGCTCTGCAGCGAGCTCAAAAATTGAATCGAATTGAACTTTTTCTTTGATTTATTCGAGTCATTACTGCAGGCGCACCTCACACATCTCTCACTGATGTTGGGTTATCCCCTGGCAAAGTCCATGAGTCAGAGATTGGATAAATTATGACTTTTAGTTACTTACTTTCTTGGGCTTGCACTAGAACCAGGAGGCAGGTGACAAAAACCCCCAGCGACTGGAATGTTGACTTCATCTTGGGAGTATTTCCCACAATTTGCACAAAACACAAATCAAATCAAAACACACGCGATTACGCACAACGACCTCGAGCGGGAGGGGAAGGAGACTACTCAGACGGAGACGGAACGTTGAGACGCTGACCAACTGATCGCAAAGTCGGCTCCGAGAGGCCTTTAAATACCGCCATGCGATTCGGGGAGATAATGATCAGGGTTTTTGGGAGAGCGTGAGAGCAACATCGTGAGTCGGAGAGGAAATAAGCAAAGCTTTTGAGTAAAGCTTCAAAGCGATCGAAAGACAAACTTGTAAAGCTTTTTTTGCGTTTAATTTAGTATTTTATTTTTGTGTGGTATCTTCAGACTTCGCATTTAAGTAAAATTGGTATTCATTATCTTATCATAGTGACGCTTCTCCGCAGGCGACAGCTTGCAGAAGCCCTTTTCAAACAGCTTCAACTCCTCCCTGGTATGCAGCGGAGGCCAGAGAGTGGTATAGCTCATGGTTCTGAATATAAATCGAATATTTAGTACTCAGATATAGACGAAAGATCAGCAGATCTTACCTCACGAATTGCCAGGCACAATCTGCTGTTGGCTGATTCTCGATCAGTTTTTTGACCTCTCGATTGAGTTGCCTGTTATAGCGTCGCTTGGCCTGTCCATAGCGCTCCAGACAGCGGACATACCTTAAGAAAACCCGTTACAAAACTGAAATCAACTGCCCCACCCAAAAGGCATTGAAGCTTACAGTGGTACACGAAATGTTGCAAAATTCGGATCGATGAAAACTTCCAAATCATCGCAGTAAGGTGGTGTAAATTTCGGATCATATTTTACTTCAGGCAAGTCCTGGTACCCTGGCACAATGTGTTGCTTGTCCTTCTCATGACGACGACTCATATCCGGAAAACCACTCGTAAAGTTTTCATCGATAGTGACCGAGGCGGTCCAACGGGAGTACCGCGCGATAGCAGCTTGCTCCTGGGTCGATCTAACTCCTACCACCAATGACTTTCTACTGCTAATGGACTCTCTGGTACTCATGGTGGCCTATGAATGTATAATCCTGTTTATCTGTGGAATTTTTTGGTATGTTTCGAGTGGTATACGAGAGAATTATGACTGTGGAATGATTACTTTTGACCATTTGCCTACTCTGATGGGAGGAGATGATCCATGATCGATAATCCATGTCACAGTAACCTTGCACTTAAACTCAGAATCTATCCCTGCATCATAAACAAACAAACTTCCATAGTGATAGGAACTAAATATCTATATATTCTTACATTATATATACAAATACCTATCACAATGGAAGAAGATATACCTATTGATAGGAAGAGCAGAGTGTCCGAATTGCGGAAAAGCCTCAACTTTCGGAGTTCCTCTGTGATAGACACTCGACACCGGCGTAGTACAGAGTTGAAAGATATTCCCAACGAGGATGAGTCAAAACAACTCGCTCAATTCAATATGAGGAACGAGGATGAGGCATTTCAGATCAGGGAAAAAAAGTTGCAACACGGCGATGATGCCGATGCTATGAGTCGCTATCCCAGTTACTCAAACTTTAAGGTTAATTAGTAAGTATCCACGATGGTGATGAACAGTCTTTCGGAACATCTTCTCTTTGCAGCTCCTATGTCTGCCTTCATCGCTATTCGAAAGCCCGTAGGGATTATGAAGCACAGTTTCAGAAGGAGATCGCTAACCTGATTAATTTTCAGAGCACTGCCGTCGATATGTTCAGCTTGGTTAGGTAACCGTTACTAAGCTTGACTAGAGCTTAACCATAATAATGGATGCCATTTTTTTCATAGGAACATGGCATACACCTCTTTGTGGCCGCCGTTGCATAATGAGGCCGAGCTAAAGTACACGCATGACAAGGTTTTCCAACTCACAAAAAAAGAGAAGAAGCGCTACAAAAAGATAATGTCTACGGATTACCGATGAATTTGTGCAATAAAATATACATATATATTTTGTTGTGTTTTACAAGAAAGCCAGAAAGCATCCTTCAACTTCACTTTCGCAACGGGAGCCAAATCAGCTTGCACTTCTGCCGCATTTCCTGCCATACTCGTACTCTCTGGGCGTCTTGGCCTTTCGTCTTCTGCCACACTCTCTGGGCGTCTTGGCCTTTCGTCCTCTGCCACACTCTCTGGGCGTCTTGGTTTCTCGTCTTCTGCCACACTCTTTGGCCTTCTTGCCACATTCTCTGGCCAGCTTGGCCCTCTGCTGCTGACTCTCTAGATGGCATGCTGATGTTTATGGGTCGTATAGTTATTTATATGCAGCATATTCTTGACAAATTGCGAAATCTCTCTAGTTTCACCTTTAACGTGCAGCAGTGGAATTTACATTTTAATTTCATTCGATGCATCTTGTTCCAGATGGAAACAAAAGAAGCCCAGAGCATGGAAAACAAGCGGCAACTAAAGTAAGGCAAAAATCAAGTACAACTTTTGCGGAAAACTTGTTTTTCTTTTGCCTTTTGGTATCGAAGCGTAGCCCATCCAGTAACCCATCTCCATCTCCTCCACCTCCTCCACCACCTCCACGCCTCGTCCGCCCTCAGCCTGTTTAGCTTCAATGAATGCTCTAACGCTCCGTTCCACTCCGGTCTTGGGATGTCACTTCCCCCATTCCTGATGCCTATCCTGTCTCCTCTTGTTGGGGAGCTTTGTTTTTTGCTGGTCTATTCATAATTCTACCCCTGACTAGGGCTACGGCTGCACAAATTGAAAGGCAAACACGTGGCCCCCTAGTTGGCCTTATCACCGGCTACATTGGGATTTTGTAGCCTCTGTCCCATGTGACACTTCGTCATGTCCTCCTCCTGCCTGTCGGTCACTGGACCAGTACCAGTACCAGTTTGAGTCACAGACTGAATTCTGGATTTCGAGTTTGTGATGAGTAGCAGTGTCACTACACTTTTTTGTGTGTCTGTTTGGTCGTTTTGTGTGCCTTTTCCTGGGCCTCCATCCTGACCGACTCCTGACTGGGCCATTTTTTCGTTCTGTGGGCTTAGGTCAGCACTTTGCCATTTTGCCATTTTCATAGCTGCATGCACCATGGCTCCCATTGTCATCGTCTCATCGTACTATCGTCCCATCATCCCATCGTCATTGCAGTCCGTCTGCGTGTCCACTTGGGCATTGTTTAATAATTTTCCTGCTTAGACCTGGGCTTTTACGGGAGCATGCCGGAAATTCCAGCCACCGGTGGCGTCGCATGAAAATTCTTGTTGGAAATTTTTGTCCTTCAGCAAAAGCTGTTGCTACTAAAAACTTTAACTTTTCCTCTGTGCCCCCATAATGATGGCATTATGAGGAGAGCCAGAGCAAGCCTCCAAAGCCGATGATACGGTATCATTGCTAATTTTCTTGGCCACTGCCCTTCCACTGCCAGTTAGCCAGCCAGTCAGCCAGCCAGCCAGCCAGACAACAGTTGGGGCAAAAGTTTAAACAAAGTTTAAGGCATTTACTCAGGCATCTTCAGTGGAGGAGCAGCAGCAGTAGCAGTATCGTCAGCAAACTGCAGGAGCTAGACAGCCATCAAAGGCAGACAGCACTTCAGTTGATTTCCGGTCGAAGGAGCCATCGAGCAGCTGTAGTAGTAGTCCTCGGACTCAATTGTGTGTGTGTGGATTCCAATGGGGTTGCGGCTGTTCGAGTGGCTTGTATATTAATTGAAATTGAAAACACTTTCGAGTGCCCATCAAGGGCCGACTCATGCCGGTAATTATAAGTGAATTCAATCCAAAAGTAATCAAAAGTTATACGAATTTCATGGCCATTACTGAAATTGTTTTTGGCTGTCAGAATGTCCCAGTCCCAGACCTTAAATATTTATTAGATACATATAAACATGTATGTACGTATATTTCGGTGCAGCCAGAACAATGTTTTAATTAAACAAAAGAAGCAAAAAACAAAAACGGGAAAATGCATAGAAATGCAACGAAATTTATGCCTCAATTTGTGTGGCTCTCTGCTGTACCTGCTGTTAAGCATAAATTCCGCAGCAAACTAGCAAAAAATTTAAATTAGCTGGCACTCGGGAAATGGGGAAATGGGGAAACGGCGAAATGTGGAAAACACACACACACACAGATAAAAAAAGGTGTGGCAACAGAGAGCACCGTAGAGGGGATGTAGTTGGCTTTTAATTTGCAATTGACCCTCGTCGTCGTACTCCTCCGTGCAAGGCCCTCTCCCCTTCAATATTAATGAACTGTAAAAAGCTGGAACGGGTAAACAAAGACAAAACTCAAACAAATGCAAAAGCAAAAGGGCTACGAGCAGTGCACACTGTATACAGTAGAACACATGTTCAATTAGCTAAATGCCAGTTTTGTGTGGCATTTTTATGGTTTGGTCAGTGCACCATTTTGTGTTCTGTTCTGTTCTGTTCTGCTGCCCCTATTTTTTATGCAGGGGAAATGCAATTCATAAATCGCTAGCAATTTAATTAGAACTGGGAAACGCTTCAAGAGCGTTTTCCCAACACACTTTTCCAGTACACGGAATTTTCCGTGCCGTGGGTTTTCAACGTGCGGCCATTAAATTAAATTTCAATTAGCCGTACACACACGCCGTACTGGAGTGTGGGTGTGTTCTGGCCATGTTAATCAGTGGAGCGTGTGAAACGAAACTGTGGCCATTATTATGTGGCCGCATTGGCCAGAAACTTTGCAGGGATTTCGTGGATTTTGGCTTTGTTGTTGCTTCCGTGTTGCCATCCACACATTGTTTTTGGTGGTGGCAAAATGTTTGCCCAGGCTTAAGGTGCACCAAAACTTTGTTTAAACTTGGTTCAACGCCAGGTAACTTAAGAACCGACCTCTTGAGCATGAGCTAAAACATCTTTAGGATACATCTATATATATATAGATCGGTCTCTGTCTATGGGGAATCAATGCTTTTAATTTGCTTAAAAGTACAAGGGACATTCAATTCGGAGCACAGAGCAATCGGGAGAAGTATCTTATTTAAAAAAGTGCCGCATATCTCGAGTGCTACACCAAAGAACCTCTTGTAGATTTCTATCCTCTTGTTAGCTGATGTAAGAGCCACTTCAAGATCTGTATCCACTTATGCCTGAAGTAACCCAACAAACCATAAAGCCCTTAAAGCCCTCATGCCTGTGATATCTAATTTGATTAGCCTGTGAGCCCAACAAAACAACTTGTGCAGTCGCATTATGAAAAGCGCAACTAGAAACCCATTGACCCACATTTTTGTCCCGCTTAAATGCTCAGACGTGACCCATTCAACTGTCTACCCATTTTGTCTCCATTGCTCAGAAGGCTCAGTGTGTCGGCTCCCCCTCTGTGTGTGCGGCAAGAACAACAATGGGGTTGCAGTTGCAGTTGCAGGGCCCCACTTACACGTAGACTTGAAATGCATTTCACTGTCGCCCCTACAGGCCCATCGTTTGGACTGACGCAAATCCCTAAACAGCAAGCGGCGACTAGGAAACAAGTCAACACGGCCTAACAACAGTGCCACCAAATGCTGCATGTGTCCCAGCCGCACACAGGCAAGCACAAACATGGCAAAGTCCGTCCACTCTCCTGTCCGGCATGGACATACATGACCAAAGTCAGCGAGAAAGTCGAGTCCCTGCCGCCTGGCGTTGCATTATTAACATTTGGGATTCCCAAGCGTCACAAGTGGCACTCGCCTGTGTGTGGTGCCGACACACACAGCTTTCGCGGTGCGAGAGGGATAGCATCGCATCAGCCCGTCTCGTTTTGGCGGCGCAAGCAATATATCGCCATCGCACACGCACGCCAAAGAGAGTTCTGCAAAGGCTAAGAGAGCGAAAGCTCTGGCCGACGAGCTCTCATAGCCCGAAGTCCTCTCGGCTGCCGACTGCCGACTTCGTATTCAGTGTGGTTCGTCCTTTGCTGTGAGGCAGTCGAAGGACTGCCAGTCGCGCACTAAAGTATGCTATCCCCTTTTTTTTCGCCTCTGAAAAAGTTGGAAAACTTTTTACGAAAAAATGATACTTCAGGAGTGGAGTCCATGGACTCGCCCTGACTCTGACTTTGGGCTTTGAGAATGTATTGACATAGTTTCAGTTTCAGATAGTTTCTCGCTGGCTTGAAAGTCATTCAGGTGCAACGTTGAAAGGCGAAAGTTCTTGCCCCCCTGCCCCCTGCCCTGTGTCCTCTGCCCCCTGGCCCGTGCCGCCAATGTATTTATTTTTATTGCTGTTCATTAGTTGGCAGTTGCCATAATTTCAATTTTATAGTTTCGCCAGCATTTAATTTATGGCGAAAGCCGAAACTTTTGCGCCCCCCAAAAATGTTTTCAGTTAATGCATTTTTGGGTGCAGTGCAGAATTTTTGATTGGTTTTTCCCGCGTGGGGGCACGAAAGTTTCGCATTGCAAAATTAATTTTCCCACCGAAATAAAAGCGAGAAAAATTAAAGTCCATTTTAAGTATTTTGTGGCACATAATTCATATCGTACATAAATACGAGGCCCACCCGCATGAAATAAATCAGACGAAATTGATTTCTCCCACCCCCGCCGCCGCCGCCGTTCTATGGAGGAAAATATGTAATATGCGGAGCGGTTTTATCGGGGGTACGATATCAAATTAAATGTAAGCCGCTTTGCATCGCAAAATACTTGGGAATCCCATTGAAATATTTATGCCCAATTGAGGACCTCAATTGACCTTCACAGATATTCCTTCCAGCTGGTCGGAGGCCATCAGCGCAAATTGAATAGTCGTATAATAGTCCGAAAATTATGTAAGGGGTGGTGGGAGGGTAGACGGTAACCCCTTTAATAACCCAAAAATTTCATTTGTTCTCCTCCTCCTCCTCCTGTATCCTTTTTTTCTGCTGGCAATTTAACTCTTCTATGTGATACGTGTGTGAAATGTAATATTTTCATCTTTTTCCAGGTGGTTTTTCCGCTCGATGGGCGGGCAAAA